TTTTTTTTTTTTTTTTTTTTTTTTTTTTCCCAAGCAGTCATCAACTGGGAGCCCTCTGCTATTTCTCTAGAGACACGAAGTGCCTTTTCCTACATTGTGCTCACGTCATCCCCAAGTCTGGTTGCTGTAGTTGTCTTCCGTGCTGTTTCTCCACCTTCCCCTTCATTCTTTAGGAAGCATTCATCCTGATTCTAGATAATACTGAGCGTGCTGTTTTAAATAGTCCCTTTTGAGATCTCAAATTCCTATTGAAGATGTTGCCAGAAGATATGCCAGACGAATATTCTCCCCTCACATCCTCCCCCATGAAATTTTGGACAGGATTTAATGTCTGTAGCTGTCCAATAATCTCCTCTCAGCCTGTGTATGATGATTTCTAATAAAAGAATTCTGCAGGGAGGAAACATGCTGTTAACAAATTCCAGCAAGGTCTGATCTCCAGCTACGTGATAGACTCTCCCTCCCATCGTGTTTTATCCATGTTCAAACCAATAGAGCTCTGGGGAAAATTTCATTTTCCAGTTGTAGCTCTATGTAACCTGCTCATCTCCCCTCCCCGATGCCGAGGTGGCAGAGCGGGTGGATCTGAACTCTGACGTTTTTGGGCAGGGGAAGCTGCTGGGTCTCTCTGTGCACTGTAGGAAGCACGGTCCTCCTGCCTTGGCTCTCCTGTTGCCAAGGGAACAAGCCCTTCAAAACAAGACAGGTCGCTTCAAACTCATCACTTGCACAAAACCCTCTTCTCTTGGGTTTGAGGCATGATGTTCTGTTTAAAGCAGTTTTCCTTTTCTTGGCAAGCTCTTGACTTGAAGATTTTTGGAGCTGGAAGATTGAGACTCAGTGGCTTGAGTCCCAGTGCTGTGAACGGGATGGATAAAGTCTGTCATCTTTGCCCTTGGTTTGATGTTGCCCTGGTCACCTGGGACTGCCTCTTGGGGTCTTGATCAGAATCTCAATGTCGGCAGCTCTAAAGGCCGGGCTGCTGCACTGTGCTGGCACTGGTGGAAGAGGCAGCACAAACCAAATGGGCTATCACATCTAGGCTATGTGTTCAGAGGGTGAAGGTAGCACACATTGCAGCGAAATGCAGGGGGGAGTTTATGTCCCTTGTTCAAGCCTTGTTCGCTCTGTTCTAATGCCTGTAACCTGTCCTTTTTCACCAGCACACCCAGTACTGGTTCAGTTCCTAATTGTACCATGTCTGTTCAGCATTCTTACACAGAAAGCACCTTCGTAAAATCTTTGATTGTGCCCTTGTGACTGAGTTTCTTTTGCTCAGCACCTTTGTGCCCAAAGTATGGAGATACTCATTACAACTAACACTTTGTCATGTTGGACCAGACCTTGTAGAGTGTCCGTGTGTACTTACTTAAACACTGCTGTTAATGTTTTATGTCCTGAATAAGAGTTTGGTAAGAAAGCATTGAACAAGATGGGTTATATCGTGGTGGGGGAGATTTGACTTGTGTGAGTAAATCCTACCCAGAAGGATGCCGTTTCTGGGTGTTGCTGGCACGCTTGCCTTTTCCCAACGGTCAAGTGAAGTGGACTGTTTAATCATTAATCAGGGAGTAGCAAAAAAGAAATGTCCAGCCTACTGTGTTGTGTTTCTCAGGGAAAGAAATATTTGGATAGTTTTGCGATTATTTTTTTTGTATAGCCAAACTGTAGTCTTTGCTCTAGGGAGATGACCCATCTTAAATCTGTTAATCAGTTGTTCGTAAGAAAAAAACCCCATAATTTAGAAATAGACAGTAGCAACACAGAACATAAACAGCAGAGCTCAAAGGAGTCTATCTTAGTTCTGACTAGAAATCCCCAGAACCGGCATTCATGTGGGTATGTTATAAGCAAAAAGTACTGGCAAATTGTTACCACTTCCTGTGATTCTTTTTGTGTGTCTTTCTTTTGTTATATGTGAGGGGTTAATTCTGTTAAATTTCTCAAAATAGTTTCCAATCGGAGACCGTACCGAGAGTATTATGTGGATGCCTTAGGAGAACCTTCAGAGAAAACCTGGGTTGCTGGGAAAGCTATTGTCCTCTTTGAAGGAAGACATCAGTTTGAAGAGCTGCCTGTTCTTCGGAGAAGAGGAAAGCAAAAGGAAAAAGGCTACAAACATAAGGTGAAAGAACTGTTTTCTCTTAATATGTTTTTGATTCTTTGAATCTGCACAGTACAAAGTATTCCTTTATGCCTGGAATTGCACTTTGACAGCTTTCTTCTGTGACAGTGACTACAGCAACACTGCCAGGGAAGTGGTTCTTTGCATCCTTACAATGAGCATAGTTTATAAGCTGCCAGGAGTTTCTAGGCTTCCTTTTATGTCGGGGTGTGGTTTGCTGCTTTTATTGCCCCAGACAGCTCTGAGAGGCAGAGGAGTCAGGTCTGTCAGCAGCGCAGCCCTCTCCTGATGTGTATTACAGCGGGCTTCGAAATAACTTCCTGCGCTCTCTGGCAGCCTCTTTTGGCTGATCTGAAGCAGAGGTGGAGTTGCACGCTTCACTAGATCACTGAGTGAGATAAAGCAGTGGGGTTTTTAGCCCTGCTTCAGTAATTCTCTTTATAGAAACCTGCTAGGACTTATAATTTGACTTGGAAAACGCTTTGTCAGTGAGCCTGTGGGAATGAGTTTTGTGGCTCATCGCGTCATCTCCGTTTCCAAACATAACAATTTGGAGCAATTGTAGCCAGTATAATGTAATGTGACACAGGGGTCTGGTCTACATCTTAAGGAAGGTGACTGAAGAAATGAACTTTTTAGGATTGCTGAAGTGAAGAAGTGCAGAGGCCACTGCATTACTGTAGGAGAGCAGATAGTCATACTAGGCAATGGTGTCTGTTTTTTCTTACCTTTTTTCCAAAAAGTTTATTACCAGTTATGTACTTAACCTATGTTAATGTAAAACCATCAGATTAAAAGTGCTCTTGCAGATGTGAGTCCCCAGGTGTAATGTTTCATTTGGTTTTCCTTTTCCAAGTCATGTTTGTTATCGTCTTGAAGGAGTTCTCTCCTTGTGTGCCCAGCCCTTAACAACTAGTTACGTGCTCCTGAGTAACTTTTCTTATCCTGGAAGTGCTGCACAGGTAGAATTTAGCTATATGTATGCTCCTATATGTAAATGGTGGTGCCAGTGTGGCTGCAGTAGAGGGAATCAAGTGGTTTTTCCTCACATAAATGTTTAGATTTGCATCCCTGGAGGCCAACACCTGATGCAAAGCTGAGAGTTTTTGGCTGGTTTGCTATCAGGCTCCACACAATTATTTTTTTTTAATCTGCTGAGATTTTGTTGGTGTGGTTTTCTTTTTAAAGGAAAAGTGTCAAAAATTTGAGTTGTTCCTCCTGCCTTGGAATTGATTTTGATTTTAGGAGCAGTTGTGAAGCATTTGATTGGCTGTTATGCAGATTAAAAACTACACGTGCAGATAAGAAGCAAGTTTCTTGCTGGTTTTAGGTGTTAGCAGAGGTTCCTGTCCAGTGTGCACCTTTTTTATACTGAAGGTACAGGGTTAAAGCTGGGAAGACTTCTCATTAACAGATGTCTTGAATTTGGTAGAGTACATTTTAGGTGGGTGTGTGAATCTCATGTTTGTACCAAGGTAAGGTGGTGGAGAGGGAAGATTGAATTGTGCTCTGAGTTCAAAGGGATGCAGGGAGAATCAAGAATGAGCAAAACAAACAAGTCCACTCAAATATTTTGAGGAAAACGATGCTGTGTTTGCCTTGAGAGGCTTGTTGGCTGTTGGTTTGTGTTTCTGTGCCGGGGTCCATACCATTTACATTCCCTTTTACAGGCTGTTGTGTTCAGGGTGTCGTTCGATGCCAGGACATCTGGTTCCTGGGGAACCTGTGCTTACAGGGACCTTTTTTGCTGTTTTGGGAATGCACAGGGATTTTTATTAGGCTCAGCAGGAGTGCAGGGTATTTACCCAGGGGCAGTGTTTTCTGTGTCTACTAGGTACAATCTCTGGGAATCCACGTGATTGTCTTAGAAGAGGCAAAATGCAAGATTGTTGCGCTGTTCTGTGCCTTATGCACCTGAATCTCACATTTGTCTTGTTGGTTACCCACTCAAATCTTTTCTTTCTCTTTTTTTTTTTTTTTTTTTTTTTTTTTTTTGTCTCCCCCAACTTCAAGGTTCCTCAAAGATTTATGGCTAAATGGGAAGTCAGTGTTGGGCAGGCAGAAGACATTCTTCTCGGGGGGCCAGAGGATCAAAAGTGCAGCCAGAACTCCAGTGAGCTGGACAGCGAGAAGGAAGGACATTTGGAATACTATGCCAATGGCCCTGGAGCAGAAAGGGACAGGCAACTGAACGGCTGTTTTAAATCCTTGGCGTTTGACTCCAGACACCCGGCCAGTGAAAAAGGAAGATTGCACATTAAGCCACATATGAAAAAAAGCTCTGACAGCAGAAAAAGGACTAGAGTAAAAAAGAGTGGTGCAAGAGGGGAAGCATCGAGGGGAGAAATCAAAGAAAAAACGCCAGAGAGCATAGTTAGAAACATGATTGTTGGGGACCTACCAGATAAACATGCGTCTCATGAACTTAGCCAGATTGCCAACAGCCTGACAGCATCCAACAGCACCAGGGAAAACCATTTGATTTCCTCTTTTGGAGAAAGACGTTTTGAAAAGACACCTTTGAAACCAGACTATGAGAATCGTAAAAGTGATGCTCTGAAGAACACTCTCCAAGGGGATTTGTTTTCCAGCGCATCTTTAGAGAGAGAGAAGAGCTCCCTGGGCATTTTGTGCAGTTCCAAATTACAAATACACTATTCTGCATCTGATGCTGGTATTGAGAAAAAGGAAACTGAATCAGACTCATCCTCTTCCCTCTCAGATGGTGGGAACAGTGATGTAGATACCATGGACCAAAGTTCAGAGAGAGCCTCTAGTGCTCTTGAAGTTAGTGATTCTTCAGATAAAGTGGAGAAGGAATTTCCTATGACGTCAAGTGGAAACATTAAACTTTCCATGTATCTTTCTCCGAAGAGCAACAGAAGGGCCAGGAAGAAGTCGTACAGAGATCGCAAACCTCTGGGAGGTTCGGTAACCGGCAGACTTGATGCTGAATTTGCAGATCGGGAGCTTGAAGTAGGCTTCTCTGATGCTGAGATGTCATTGACAGCTCTTGAGTGCTCTTCAGATGTGAGAAATGACAATCTTTCCTTAGCAAACAAGCACACTACTCCCCAAAGTGTTTCCAAGGACAGCTCCTGGCCTGCTGTTGCAAATCAAGCGATCTTAAAACCGAAAACCATGAAATTGCCCCGAATCAGGAGTATAAAATGCAAACATAAAGAAAAAGTTGCTGGATTGGAGCCTTCTCTTGCAGAAGAGGAGGGTGGTGTGAATCGCTGCTCTTCTGATACCAAAGGTTTCTCTGGCCTTCAGAGAGATTCTCTTCAGAGAAGCGGAAAAGTTGATGGTCAGAAACTGTTAAACAACATGCATGAGAAAACCAGGGATTCTGCTGAAATAGAAACGGCTGTGGTGAAACATGTCTTGTCAGAGCTGAAGGAACTGTCTTACCGGTCCATGAATGATGATGCTAGTGACTCTGGCACTCCAAAGGCCACAGTACCTTTACTTTTCTCTTCCGCCTCTGGCCGTTTGCCTATTGAGCCAGATTACAAATTCAGCACCTTGTTAATGATGTTGAAGGATATGCATGACAGTAAGACAAAAGAGCAGCAACTGATGACTGGTCAAAATATAGTCCCATTTCGAAATACCAGCACAGCTGATGGTTCTGGAAGCAATTCTGCAAGTGGTCTGAAGTCCTTGTCTATTGTAGGTCCCCCATATAAACTAGAAAAAAATGGAGATTGTGTCCAGGAAACAGTAAATCCAAACTCTGCTGTAAGCAACTCCTCATTTTCACGCAATCCTCCAACCAAGTTGACGGGGATTGGTACTAGTAAAAGGGAGCCTGCGAGTACTGCTGTTTCTGGGACAAATGGCACAAATTGTGTGCCCAAACGCAACTGTTCAAAATCTAAGCAGTCTTCAAAGCTTGGAGATAAAACAGTTTCAAACAGAAAGGACTTAAAACCAGGAGGGCCAAGTAAGTTGCTAAGTCGGTTATCCCGAGATTCAGGAGAACATGCATTCCGCGTTCACGGTTCGGTTCCCAGTCCTCTAGGTAATGAGGCGGAAGATGCTGAGAGGAAAGAGTCTGTTGATTTAACAGAACATTCAACTGATGAAGACTCTGCCTGTTTATCTGATGACAATTTAGATCGTATTGGAAGGAGACCTGAAGCTGGTAGAAATATTGAGAGCTGCACTTCCGCTGAAAATGGGGAGAGTCCAGACTTGGATTCAGAGGCAAATAGTGAGAGCTCTCTTGGTGATGAGTCTAATGATGTAAATCACGTAGCACCCAAAAAGCGGTGGCAGCGTTTTAACCAAAGCAGTGCTAGATCTAATAAGCACATCAGTAGATCTAGGGATCAAGGAAACTTGGAGAGTGCCTTTGGCCTGAATTCTCGTGGCTTTTCACTGAAGGGAAATGAGTGCTTGGGACGTAGGCATTCCCCGCATTCAAAGGTGCTTGAGGGAGACCTGACAGATCAGGACTGTGAGAATCGTTTAGACTTAGTTGAGAAACGTTTGAATGTGTGTGGTAAGCCAAACAACAGTGTGATGGACTCAGAAACAGAGCTTGGCAACTTTGCTCCCCAGTCTGAATTCTCTGCACAAGGTAAGGGAGCTGGACTTGCGCCAGAGTGTGTATTTATATACATTTTATACATTTTCATTTAAAGCATGAGTTGGGGCTGTTTAACAAGATGGAGGTGTAAACATCTGAGCTGAAGAAAACGTGATACCTTTTGGGTTCTCTGTAAGCACAGAGAACAAAGAAGGCAGAGCAATTGTGGGATTTTGCTTGGCTTTTTGGTCAGAAAGTTTAAATATATTGCAAATCATTAGTTCCTCCACAATGAAAGGTAAAATGAGCATCCTTCTAAGTTTAAGATTTTTTTTCTTTAGACTTATACCTACATAATGTGTTGCTTAGAGCCAAGTGCTTGATGTTAGCTGGATAGATCAGCCTAGAAAGTTGTGGGAAACTGAGCCTCAATGGATGCTCTTTTTTTTTTTTACCTTCTGTTGCTGTTTGACATAGAGTTTGTCTTCAGTTTGTTCTGTAGGATTTCAACAAGACAATGTTTGGGGTGGTTTTTTGCATTTTAGTGTGGAATTTTATTAGCTGCTAATTGGGGAACCCCACAGATTTCCTAATTTATGTCTCTGGTGTGGCTGCCTGAGGGGTGAAGGAGAGAAGAGGGGGAAACTGCCAGGGAGGCTGGGCTGGGTCTGGAAGATGGCAGGCAGAAGTAAGGCAACATCTCTGGAAGGGAAATGATCAAGGAAAGAGGAGTCTTCCTTCTGTGTGTGTGTGGAGGGAATAGGTCCGGCAGAACTATGTTCAGCATATGCTACCCTCAGGCTTCTGGGAAAGCTAACCTTACTGAACAACAACAAAATTATTTTTTTAACATAAATTTCACTACACTAAATTGCTCCAATCATAATTGCAATATCATAATTTAATATAACTTGACAGAATTTTGAACCTCTCTACATTTTTTCACTTGCGTGTTCCCTCGTGCACGTCGTGGTGTGTGTGTTTTGCTGTTGGTGGTTGCTGGAGGTTTCCTGCACCTCTGTTTGAGCGTGGAAAAGGCAGCTCCTGGCACAGTGGTCATAGGAGCTGCCCAAGGCAAGTCACAGCAGGCACAGAAAACGAGCCCAGAGGGTGTAATGCACGGGGTAAAAGTTCTGGTTTGAAACCATGACAAGCTTAATAATTCACTGACTCCTCTGGCTGTAGCTGTGTGGTTTTGAGGATTTAAGCCTTCACAGAGCAGGCGAGAGGATGTGCGTTGTTCTGGGGCTGTCGAGGCTCTGCTGCAGGAGTGTCACAGCCTGACAGGGAACTGTCGAGGCTCTGCTGCAGGAGTGTCACAGGGAGTGACAGGGAGTAAGTTCCTCATTTGCACTAAGATGCAGCCAGGTTCTCAGGGTTTCACGATGATTTTTGCAATTGAAGCATCCCTACATGTTGCTATGTGAGATGAAGATGCAAGTCTACAGAGAGAGCTAGAGAAGAGCTGCCAAGAGGTAGTAATGTTGAGAGGAGAGGAGCGCAGAGCAGTCCTGGTGCTGCACGCAAGGATGCAGCGAGGGCCTGGTTTGCTTGTAAAAGTGACAGATCGGCAACCTCAGTGTAATCTAATTCCCCTGCCCTAAATAGCACGTGAGCCTTGAAGCACACCTGAAGCTTACCAATATGAATTTGCATCAGGGAGGCACTCTGTGTGTGAGGAGGAGCTGTCTGGCTGCTGTAACACCCCTAGTGTGCTGGCGGGAGTGAGTAAACCTCTAAAGCCATCAAAAGCCCATTTTGTAAATCAGCCTTCCGTTTATATCAGGGAAGGGCAATTACATAGCAAGTGGGATGATGCTGGAAGTTACACTAACTGCAGCTTACAGAAGAGAAGGAGTTGCCTGTATTGGTGGCTGGTGCTTTGAGAAGACGTGGCTAACCCTTGTCCGCAGCAGGCAGAGTATCAGTGTAGGAGATCACACAGATTGCAGTCACAACTGTGTAATTTCCTCTAAACTCTATGTAAAAAGTCTTCATCATAGTTGAATGGCAACATTTGGCATATTTTTGCTACAAACTTTGTGGTGTGAGCTAGAGCAAATAAGGCAGAAGTGAAGATTGGTGGAATTTGCTGACTTAAAACATTTTTATAATTAATAGTTTCATCAGGTACGTGATTTACCACTGTCGGTCAGGCTGCCTGTGGGATTCTTGTATGGGATTTGCTCTGGGGAAAAAAATAATAATGCAGTTAAGGCAGGCCTTCTGGCACAGTGCTGTGCTCTGCTGTGTGGCTTTGGGGCTCTAAATAGTTGCCCAGTGAGGATACTCAGCCTATAACTGGTTATGTGCTGAAATGTGTATTTCACCCAGACACCTGTGCAGAATGTTAACAGAGGCTGAAAATAGCTGTGTTTGAGAAAGTTGTTACTTTCTTCTCTTTTAGCCAAGTTTGACGTTTTCGTGCTTGTTTAACCACAAAGCCACAATAAAGTGTAGCAATCTTGTCCAACATCCCTGTTCTGAAGTGTTGCACTGGAATGCTTTGTTATAAAATGTTTCCGTTTTAAAGAAGAAAAAGCCACCTCCTACACAATGAAAAGAAGCAAAGAGGATATTTATTGTTTGTTCCTAAACTTCCCAGAGACCACAAATGTTTCTTGTGACTGGGAGAAACCTTTCAATGATACTATTTAATAATTTTGAAAACTAATAAAGGGGGAAATTCAGCAGTATTCTGGGAAGTGAGAAAAAGACATAAACTTGCATCATCTTGCTTTTGTAGCTTGCTGAGCAGAGATGATGTAGAGCGTTGGGGCTCTTTTTTGGGGTGGTATAGCTTGGGTGGATAGGTTTATATCGAGGAAGTACCTGTTACTGGGTTTCCCTTGCGATGGTGCAGTGTTGTGCAAACAAAAGACATCTGAGCCCTGAAGAGCCTGCAGTCGCTGGCGAGGACTGTTCGCTCCGTGGTCTCATTGTGGAATCTATTGTCGGGAAGCAAAGGCAATAAATGGGCTTGCAGTAGCAGATGGGGAATACAAAGCTCTTGTGGTATATACAAAAATATACCAGGGAGGAGGGGAAGGGAAAGAGTTAGGCTTATGTGTTACTAGTGAAACTAGTGACTGAACCGTGTTACAGGAAAACAGTATTTTACCATGCCCCTGCATTAAAACTGAGGGAGTTTGGGTTAAAGCAAAAGTAGCAGGATGAGTCTGAGTTGCTAATGGACTTGGGTTTTGGTAAAAGTACTGCAAGAAGGTTAGATGTACTTTGGCTAAGAAAGGAACCTCTCAGTCAGGAATCTGGTGGTTTTTGATTTCTTATCTGAACTGTTTGAAGTCCCTTAGGTCCTTAAAAATGCCACCTGCCATGTCAGGATTGTGGAAAATAGAAAGCTCAAAAAATTATAAGGCTGTATCAAAGAGAAAGAAGTGGCAGGGCTCTTTCCACATGGAGCCTCTGGAAGAGAAGGCAGGAGAAGCTGTTGTCTACAAATCATGAGGAGAATTTTGTCTTGTGATCATCTCAGAAACACAGTCTTGAAGCTGCTTTTCTTTTTCTTAGTACATTCAGAGAGGAAACGCCTTAGAAAGCCAAGTAAACGGCTTCTGGAATATGCAGAAGAATATGATCACTTATTTGCACCCAAGAAAAAATCAAAGAAGGGCCAGGAGCAATTGCAAAAGGTGGGTGAAGGCTAATGTGCTCTTTGTGGTTATTACTCTGGAGCTCTGGTCTGTGTGCTTTTGATGTGTTGTTGCTGTCTGAGTGTTGTTGCTGTGTGTGGTGCTGTGCAGGATGAATGTTTTCACCAACATGTTTCGCTGTGCTAGGTGAATTCTGTGGTGAGGTCTGAATTTGAAGGAGGTCTTCCTGCACAATGCAGTCCTGAGGGAGACACCCAGCGGGGACAGAGTTCTTTGGTTTCAACTCCATCTTCAACCAAAGAGTCCCCTCCCGTCCTTGAAGCAGAGTGCTCCTTTTCAGAACTAGGATCCCATCCCACTGATCAACGTCTAGAAGAACGTTCAGACTTTCCAGAGCTGGTGTTGTCTTCCTCGGATGTCTCTGAAGTTTCTGCTTCTCCAGATGCAGAAGAGAGATTCTTGAAATCAGGTGAGAGATTGTGTGATTCTGCTGCTGTAAGTGAACGTGTTCAGTGGAAATTGTTGCTTCAGTCAGAGAGAAAAGGTTAGTAGCTGTCGATCTGTTAGTTTGGTTTTGCTTTGCTTCATTCAGTGACCATTCCTGGTGCCAGGAGGTGTCAGAGAGCAGATGCAGTGGGTGACCCAGTGGCCTGGATGATTACACTGACACTTTTAGCTTTCTGTAGTGTATGATGGTCTCCTTAGGTCCTGGCACAGAACACCCCTTTGTCCAAATGAAGAAAATCACAACTCCTTCCTTGCCATCTGTGCTTGCAAACAGTGGCATTCCTTTAGCTTGAAGGTCTCTTGCTGCTGTTAAAACCCTTTGGGTGAAGGCTGCTGTGCTGAGGTTGATATGCAAAGCCTGATCTGCATAGCTTTTGGGGTAACCTTTTGCTCTCCTCATGAGCTCAGGGAATTGTAACGCAGAAATCCCTCTGGAAACTTTTTTTTTTTTTTTTTCTTGGAGGTTCTAAGGATCTACAGAAATTGTCAGAGTTTTGTACGAGCAGCAAGCTAGGGTCTTAACTTTCAGTATAGAAAGAACGAGTGTGGTCTGACAGACTTTCCCCCTTTCCAACAGTCAGTATTAGGATCTACTTTGCAGTACATTCATTCTCTGATAGTGTCTAAAGACTTGTTATAGAATCATAGAATCATGTCCAGGGTTAAAGCCCTGGTGGTCTGGTTGTGCTAACTTGGAGGGAACGCTCTTCTGCTCAAAAGGGCCTATGGTCAAAAAAAATTAAACCAAACAGGCAGAGAGGTATGGTCACTGGGAGGTCAGTTAGCCTGTTATGTTTGAGGGTAGAGGGATTGCCTTTTTGGGGGCTTGTGGATGTCAGATGGAAAGTTGGAGAGGACTAAAGGAGGAAAAACTGGGGATGTGAACCTGAGGTTGGAGATGCAGGAAAATAGTAGATGGTGCAGCAGTGGGAGCAAACGTCCAGTATGCAGAGGTTGCAAAGCTCCATCCCCTCCTGACAAATCTCACCTCTTGCTGAAGCAGTCAGCAAGAATCCAAGCTGTGGACAGAGGCTTACCTTGAGAACGATGCTGTGTTGTCCCTTCATGAGGCTTCTGATGCATAAGCACACATGCAGAGGTGTGTGTCATAGTGAGGACACAGCCAAGGCTGATAAAGCAAGCAGATGAACGGGGTGGGACGGGTAGCAGGCTGTTCTGTGGAGTCTTGCACTCATAGCATCATTTCCTGGGGGTTAATTTTATACTGTTTACAAAATAAGTGTGGATGAGTCCAGGTCTTACCAACTTGTTACCTACTGAGTGGCAGCAAAAAGGATGGGTAAGAAACGGTCCAAGTTACAGCTAGTTAGGGGTGTCTTTTCCCAGGTAGTTTTAACCAGGAGTGTGTCCTTTAGCCTTTTCTCTATGTGCAGCGTGGATGGTGGTGTGACTGGTGTGGGAGTGGAAGCAGGGCTGTATTTGTCAGTGGTAGGACTGGCTTACGCAGATCAAAGCGGTCGGGAAATTACGATCTGAATCACACCGTCAAGATGTGTTACCTCCTGGCATTAACTTCATAGTCTGCCTTCTGTGGGTGGATTTTTACATTGAATATTGAGGTATGCCTGAAGGTCATGGCAGACTGAGGCCCGTTTTTGTCAAAGTTGTACAGAAACAGGTAATTGGCATCTCTGCCCAAGGAGTTTATGATCCCAAAGACAGGGTGAAGCAAATTGATTGTTTTGTACTGTTGGCTGGTGTTTTCTTAATGGTGGTCTTAGTCTGGCTGAAGAGAATAAAACCCCTGTTTGTCTAATGTGAAGAGTTTCATTGCAGGAAACTTCGAAAGCAAGCGTCAGAGGAAGCCCACTAAAAAGCTCTTGGAATCCAATGATTTGGACACTGCCTTTATGCCAAAGAAGGAGGAGTGGACTCCCCCAAAGAAGGTACTTTCCTTCCAGCTCGTTTGAAAGCCAGATAGAAAACGAGTCCAGACAGCAGACCAGGCTGAATGAGACACACAGTACAATGGGATGTGGGTTTTTTTGTTGGCTGTGGCCCAGGAGTGAAGGTCCACCCTTCCCAAAGGTGCTGGTTGCCGTGTTATGATGAAGAATTTTGCTGAATACAGATGTGTTCCCCACCCCTCCCCTCTTGTAATGGGGATTGGGTGGTTTTGGCTGGAAAAATCTTACCGCTTCATTGATTTATACGGAAAAGGGAGTCATCTGGATGCTGGCTGGGAAGGCATGAACAGAAATGTTCTGCGCAGAGGCTCTCTGTCACTGTGATGCTGTAGTGTAGCTTGAGCTTGAACCTAAGGCTTTCTCCTCTTCTGTCAGATTTCCTCTGAGCAGCATTTCCTTTGTTACCTTCCCAAGTGGGCTAGTGAATGGTATGTAAGTGCAGAGCTTTTAGCAGGATGGAGGCTTGAGTTGTACCACGTGTAGTATGCAGCGCTTGGTGGTGAATCTTAAATGAAAAGACAGACTTCTCTGTTAAAAACTCAATATTAAATGACACGGTTTGGAAAAAAGCAACTTGTAAAGAATTATTTAAAGTGATGTACTTGCACAAGACTCATTGGCACTGTTTCTAAGGTTGATTAATAATAGTTTTCCTCCTTGCCTTTTCCTCTCTGTGTGGCACAGTCTTAATACAGTTATCATGGTTGCAGTAATGCAGAGGGTAGTGTATTTCAGTCTTAAGCTTCATAAAGCCAGAAGAGAGTCTCTCTTCCCAGCAGCTTACAGGGTGTTAGCAGCCTTTCTGGGAGAGCTCAGGAAACAGCGAATGATGCTGGTGAGCGCAAGACACGGCAGACTCAGCGTTCCCCCCTGCCCAGAGAATCACTTTTCCATGTGGGATCTATCACACTCACAAAACAAATGTTGTATAGAATCTCTAATCATTGATGAATTCATGACCTGAACTGTAAGTTAGACATGGCCGTCATTCATAAAGGCTCTTGAGTGGCTGAGGAATGTGCATCTCTCTGATTTGCATCTGGTGACTTGACTCTGTTGTGTGTTTGTAGGGCACTGGCCCTTCGGAGAGCGATAGCTCTGAGCTCTACTCACCAGCCCACTTCCCAGACCTGGGAGAAGGTAAGTGAAGGCAGGGCTGTTGGGGGTGGGCTGTTGGGGGTGGGCTGTTGGTGACATTTGGATCACTGCCTGTGGCTTTGTGTGTGAGGGCTTTGTGTGTCCTGGGCTCTCAGAGCACACTTGCTGCAGCTGAGGCAGTTTAGCAGCAGAAATAGGTACCAAGTTTGTTTACCCAAGGTACTGTTATGTTGCTGATTTCCCTATGCAAAGTGGAGATGGTGGGCTCATAATTTCATGAGAAGATGTTCTCATGCATGTCTGGGTGCTTTAAGGAAACTGATCAGCACAGGTCCTGTACCAATACGCTGTCTTTTGCCTGATGACATGCTGTGACCAGGCTTAACAGTGGCTGCCCTGTCCCATGGACAGTTGTGCAGCTGTGTCATACTCCCTCCCCGTCTGCCTTTATATCAGTTTTTGGTATTGACATGAGGAAGTCTTTGTTGCAGTGCAGTGGGAGGAGGTAGTTACCAACATTTGATAAGCAGTGTAAACTTTGTGTTGGTAGCATTTCTTCTTTTCTGCTGGGGTGCTGTCTCAGGAAAGTCAGCGATACTGTTCAGCAGCCTAGCAGAGGAAGCTTAAACCAGTATGATTTGGTGGTGCTCTGATGGGTGCAGGACAGAGGGCAGGCTGCCTGGAGGCTGGTACTGTCCCAGCCCTTATGCCCTCAAAGACAGTAGGACCCAGGCTGAAGCTCTCAGAAAAGATGTGGAACTTACTGGTGGCACCTGTAGCAAGTGAATTATTTCTGCATTTTTCTTGAGTGGTCTTTCTGTTGCATCCCAGCTTCTGAAAAGCTCTCGGAGAAGCAGCGGAAGCGGAAGAGACAGCGCCATACCTCTGCTGCAGTTCATTCTAAGAAGGAGAGAAATGAGGAGGGGCTGGGGGAGACCCCACACTCTGAGGTACTGTTGGATCTTTCTACCTGCTGTCATCCCTGTAACCTGTCTGCTACTTCCCAGGGCACTTGGCAGAGCCCAGGCCAGGTCATCTTTGGCTGCTGGTGTGTCAGTTGGGAGTTTGTCCCACTGACATGTCCCACGATGTAGTTGCATGAGCTGGGGTTCAAGCTGAAGACACCACCTTGATTTAGTAGCTATGTTGTGGTGACTGCTTAACTCGGGCTCAGTTTTTAAGCTGCTACTCAGCTAATTCTCCAGGAGAGAGAGGCTGTTCTGATCTGGTGGAACCAGGTTTTGCCTGGCATTTTGCTTTGCACCTCAAAAGGTCTAGCTGCTGCAAAAGGTCTTCTCTGGTGATGGTGGGAATCTTGCCCTTTTACACACCGGTATGAAGCACAAGCACTAGACTGTGGACTTCAACCCCTTCTTCCTTGTGCCTGTGCACAGCAGGGCGAGATGAGAACCACGTTGGAGGGGATGGGGGGGACTGTCCGTGACCGCTCACAGCAGCCTCTGATTACATTCTGCCATCAGCAGAAAGGGGTAATTGGGGCAACTCCCTTCTACTGCATCCCAGCACAGTTGGTGTACAAATATCTCTGACAAGCACATTTTGCCTTTTAGGAATGAGCCAGGTATCACCAAGTGTAGGGGAAGCAAGACTTTTCCTGGGAGAGGCGGGACACCTCTGGGCCTCTCACCATCGCCTCTCACTTCCAGTGGCCCAGGTTCAGCAGCAGGCTGTTCTGTCAGGATAGTCAGTATGTATTTCAGGAGCTAATTATAGACATATATTGTTATATTTGTTGTTGTTATACAACTTCCAGGAGAGCACAAACCTCACACCACTTTCTGAGCAGCACCAGCCACCCTGCTACTACTGCTTTTTGAAAAGGGCGTTTATGATGGGGATGATAAAGTGGGAAAGTGGGGCAATACCCGTGGGCCATGCAAGCCTTCCTGTGAGGGTGTTGGTGCTCTTTCTAAACCGTGCTCATCTGGAGTCATATTTTGAAGAAGCCTGTACAAATATCTCTGCCAATGCTGGGGGGCAGTTAATGCTGTCTGCTGTTAAGCACCTACCGAAAGACTGGCTCAGCTCTGAGGCAGCAAATTTTCTGTGAATCTTTTTTAGGGAAGAGAAAAGGGGCAATTCAGAGCAGCTAAGTAGCTAGGCTATGGCTCTGAATCTTGCACCCACCATTCCCTGCAGAGGAAGCCCAGGGAGTCTTAACTGCCTCCACCCTTGGACATCTGTGTTGAATACCTGAAGTTAGGTATGGTAAACCATGTCAAAAAAGGAGGGGGGAAAAAAATGGCAATGCTTGGCACCTTTTGCCAGCATCCATTTCTCTGTAATTGTGTCTCGAGCCACTGTGGTGAGAGTATTCTCCCTTGGCTTAGGTGAGTGCACAGATGCTGGTGAGTATTGGAGTGCTATGGAGATGCAGTTGTGTTTTCACATGGAATTTGGACCACTCTGGTCCCCAAGTGACTTACCACACACCAGGCAAGGAACTCCACTTTGTGCTGAATGGTGCTAGAAGAAATAGACAGTCTGATTATTCAGCACAGTGGAGCCCTGGATCCAGCTGCTTTCAGTGGAAAAGAGGGCAGAGGAAAGCTTGTCTGCCTGGGCTGAACTAAGCAGCTTTCTCTGTCCTTGCCTGTCTGTGGAGCCAGGAGTGCAAGTTCACAACAGCAGGGCAGCAAGAGGCTGAGAGAAGGGGATGGAAAATGCTGTTGAAATCTTTGTCAAGGTTGTGAGCCAAGGTCAGGCTGTGCCAAAGAACAGGCCAGGCTTTTGAGGATGTGCCAGAGAGAGCTCTGGAAGAAGACCCAAGATGAGACACCTGCCCTCTGTAGGAGGTATGTAGTTTTGCAGTGCTCATGCTGGATAGGGGAAGAAGGGGGAACAGTGTGACAGGTTCTTTTGAGTGATGTCCTCGAGTGGCAATCCCCTTCTCAGTGTTCACAATGCACGAGTATCTGGCCCTGCCTGTCCTGCCTTGCTCTGACATTCCCTTTCCTGTGCGGTTCTGGGACTGTTGATTAAAATAAAGCTAAGATCCTGGCGTGCAGATTGGCCAGCTGTTTGCAGAACCAAATAGGATGGGCTTAGGCTGAAAGAGCAGGGCTAGAGCATACCATGCCACGCTGGGTGGTGTGGGTCCAGTTGGTAAGACAGCATTGCTACTAGCAAATGCTTTCAGATCTGAAGAGGGAGTTGCTGGTTAATGTTCAATGACTTCTAGATGTGTGTTAGTCTCCTATTCCATTAAGATGTGAAACATGGCCTCCAGGGTTCAAACCAAGGAGTCCTAGCAGCCATGGTAGAAAGTGGTCAGAAGGATGGAAAGATGAAGCAGTTCTAAATCCCTCATACCTCTTTCTAGCAGATCTGAGGATGTTTCCGTCCCTCCCTTCCCCTCCCCCTGCTCCTTCCAAAGCACTATGTTGAGACCTTAGCTACAGCAGGAAACTAGTGCTGCTGGCCACAGGATGGGTGGGTGGTGCTAGCTCACCAGCACCCTGCCCCTCCTGACAGGGACCTCAGTGACCATGAGAGGGGCTGAGCTCACTTTGTGTCTCTAACACTGGGGCCCCAACATAAGCAGAAGCTATAGCTGCTGTTGTTTGCCCATACCAGTAGCTGATTAACCCTGCTCTTGTTCTTCGTTACAGTGACCCCTGCAACCCTGAGGTCACTGCTGAGCAGAGCAGAAGAGGGAGCAGCTGTGTAGGAATAGGAGAACCTGAGCTGTAAACAGTCCTTGGAGCGCTGGTCACCAGTGCTGCTCCTGGAGCATTCCAGGAGTCAAAGCGAGTGTTTGGGCCATAGGGCTGCCCTGCAGCAGATTAAAGAATTCCTAGCAGAAGTATCATAGCACTTAGTGATGGTCTTTTTACCGATGTCATAGGGACCTTTCCATTCCCTGTGCCAGGGTTATGTGTTAGGGTGGCAGCAGCTTAGTGCTCCTTATCAGTATTCCTGCAGGCTGTATCGCTGCCAACCTTCCAGCGAGACCGTGGTGATAGCCTGTGAGGTTGTAAACCCTATGGTATGTTGGACAGGCAGCAGCTTGTAGCTGGGACTTTACTGTTTTTGTGCTCAATAAAGGCAACTTAAACCCTTCATCTTTGTATTGTGTGCTTTAATATATCATCAGTGCACCTGTGCATCATTGCTCCACAGAAGGTGCATGGCTTTAGAATGTTACTGAATAGAAGCATACTGCTATATTCAAGGAATGGAAAAAAAAAAACCACAAAACAGGCAGAGGAAGCATCATTAACCGACCAGAATACCAGCTCCAGGTTCTTCCTGGATCTCACTTTAAGAGATCTTTGTCCTTGTTTTGCCCAGACTAATAATGTGTTCAGAGGGCATGCAGTTCAGCTTACAAGCTTTAGTAGCACCACAACTCAGACTGATACTTTCCCATACAGAAGGTGGTGCAAAGCTCCCTCTCGTGATCATTAGCTGGACACCTGGCACCAAGCAGGCTTGAAGGTACAAGAGTGATGGCTGCTGCTCCTGCCAGCACAGTCACACAGTTTGGGTCTGGGCATACACTGGATATGGCTTGGTGACCCAAGGAGGAACTGGCAGCTACACACGGAGATCACTTGGCTAACTGCAGTGAGCTGGGAAATTAAAAAATGGCAGAGTCCTTAAAATGTTCTTGCTCAAAGCATTTAGCTAAAGGCATGATTTGGTGCAGCATTAATGGCCTCTGGAGTGGCAGCTGGGGGTGGTGAGACTGCTGAAGTGTTGCCTAGGCTGTAAGCTGGCAGGGTGGCCTTTCCTAGCTCTTAGTCATCTGTCCTGACAAAAGTGACAGCAGTGCTGCCACGTGAAGCACCAGGACAGCAGTATTTTGTGGTAGAAACAAGTCTCTCTAGGATACCTACTGCTCTCTTTACTTCTAACAGTGTCTGGCCAGATCCCATGGGCACACCAAAAGATGTCCTTCCATCTTGAGAAGTCTTATGACAGGTCCCTGACTTGGCCCGTGAAGGTGCAGTTGGGCCTTTATCAATTGAAACCCATCTCTTTCACCAGTAGATGTTACGGACAGTGCTGTGATGCTCGTACAGGACAGATGTGATGAAAGACTCCCTGCTGCAGGCAGGATAGTGGTGTAAGTGCCCCACTGCACCATTCACTTCACTCTTGACCAGCTGGTCCAGACTAACACAGGCCTTGAGCACCCATGTGCCTATATTTTACATAGGTTGGGACAAGCTGAGACAAGTGTGGGGAAAAGTCTGGCTCATTTGCTGGGTAACAACTGCAATAAAGATTGTTTGAAGTTTTTCATTTGCATTTCCAGTGTAAGCAGACATCAGGATGCTTCTCACTATTCCAGACTACCTGATTTGTTTCTATAGAGGGCAAAACCTTTCTTCCTCAGCCATGACTCCTTCCTCAGAGAGGGGCTATGCACAGGAAAGTAATTGTGTTGAGTGTGTATTTTTTAATGATCTGGTAAACTAAGGGCTTTTTCCTTTCCTTTCTCATAAGTCTTTCGTTAGAACTGTGTGTGGGATGTTCTCTCCGGGGTGGGTAACATGCACAAACCAACTGCCAAACCTGTTATATGCTCAGTGGCTGAATTTGTAGTTTCCAAGTCAGGACAGGGATTACTGATAGCACTGATTCTGGATTTCTTTTTAAAGGGGGAGACATCGGTTCATGGGACTGCTACAAGCCCCAAAGAGGGTAATGAAGAAGGGTCAGAGAATGACCATGGAGTGCCTTCGTCCAAAAAGATACAAGGGGAGCGTGGAGGAGGAGCAGCTCTCAAGGAGAATGTGTGTCAGGTAGTGCCCTTGAAGAAATCTCTTTGAAACTTTACAGCTCTAAAGTGTTTTTGTGTAAGTTCTGGAACATGCTAGTGCCCCAGATAAGCCCAGGTAGCCTCAAGGCACTTATTGTAGAATGAACCAGCTTTTTGTGCCCTGAATTGAGCTTCTCCTCAGTTACCACCTCTCCTCCCACTAATATTTACAGGTGTTAGGGAGAGGTTACCAATGTAGGATTCATTTTAGCTGGTGCATGATAGCAGGGACTGGATGGCAAATGGTGGTGGTGGTGATGCAGAAATAACCTAAATTAACTGACACAAGGAAAACTTTGCATTTTTCCGCAGGCGTCTTTGGCCAGCACATGGATTGTTGCTGTTTGGGATGAGTTGCAGAAGGAGGTTGCTCAGAGCTGACATTGTGCTTCTTTCTCTGCAGATCTGTGAGAAGCCAGGGGAATTGTTGCTGTGTGAGGCGCAGTGCTGTGGTGCTTTCCACCTGCAGTGCCTTGGGCTCTCCGAGATGCCAAAGGGCAAATTCATCTGCAACGAGTGTTCCACAGGTACAGCAGCATTTTGTGAGCACAGAAGGGACAGGGTCCTTGCTGTGTGTTTACCTGGTGCTCCCCTTGCTGGAGTGGTGTGCCTGTGGTAGGGTTGCTAACTAGCTTTCAGTCCTCTGATTGTTGGTTTGGTGTTTGATAATGACTTTTTAATGAACTGCTCTTACTGTTGATTAAGGCACGTGGCGTGCGAAGAAGCGAATGTCCAGGATCTGGTGGGAAAGAGATGGGGAAATTCTTATCTGTGATTAGAGAGAGAGGGGTGATGTGGGGAGAGGATGAGTCTGGAGCAGGCTGGAAAGGGGGGAATATAAGTAGGGTTGTTGATTTTTCATTTTTCTTCTTATTTTTCCCTGGCCTGAAATCACAGCTATAATAATACATTTTTTAATCTGAAGTTTTATTGCAGCTGCAGGCAAAACCAGCCTGCTGTAGAGATCTGTGCTTTGGGATGGGTACAGCAGGTTGGGAACTTGTGCTGTGGTAATAGGCAGCCTGGTGGAAGTGTCAGGTCTTCGTTCAGCCCTTCTACGTGACTGATGTTATTTCTGTTGCTCTTTCTCCAGGCGTCCATACCTGCTTTGTGTGCAAGAGCTGTGGGGAAGATGTAAAACGGTGCTTGCTGCCCCTCTGTGGGAAGTATTACCATGAAGCGTGCATACAGAAGTACCCGCCCACAGTCATGCAGAACAAGGGCTTCCGATGCTCCCTGCACATATGCATGACTTGTCATGCTGCTAACCCAGCAAACATCTCTGCATCTAAAGGTACTGAAATCTTTTACATTACTCTAGGGGATGTAGTTAGTAGCTTTTTCTTCGTTTAATATCCACTGTACGCTTACTTGGTCCTCTGGTTCTTTATGATGATTTTCTCTCCTTGCCACAGTGCTTGGTGTAGCTGAGGGAAGTGGAAGGGGTGGTGTCGCTATGCGAGGTTGCTGCTCATCAGCACTCCTGATGGTCAGGCACAGCAACTAAAATGTTCTTCTCTGTCCAGACGCTTGGATGCCTGCACGTCCAGCAATGCCACATGCCTCCCTGGGACTTTGAATAAGTCTCCGGCGCTGTACAGACACTCTCAGGTTTCTCCTACGTACTTTTCACTCTGCCAGCGCTGCAGATGGTGCCTGCTTAGCAGCACTGGCTCTCAAGACAACAGCATAGAGAGTAGCATAGTAAAAGCTACGATACTGTTCTGGTTCTCATTGTTTTTTATAATGCAAACTTTCATCTTGTAGTAGTGACACCCTTGGGCTAAGCTGCTCAGGCAAACGTTTGTTTGAGCTGTTTGCAGGAATACCTTGACCTTTATCTCACACGATTAAACTTAAAACTTTTATGTGATTGCATTGTATGTTTGCTTCTAAAGCTGCCTTTAAGTCCGTGGTGTCTTAAGACAGCTCTATTTTTATCCTCAGGGTCTGTGTTAAGGTTGTCTTTTTTCCCCCACAAATCAGTGTTTGGTGTAGAAGACAACACTAAGGGCTTTACCACAGCTGAATATTTGCATTGTGTTCCTCTGACTTCTCAGTGATCAGATTTACCCCTTTCCTCCCTCCTCCTCTCCCTGCTTATTTTCTCCTGTGAGGAACTAAAAACAGGCTCTCAAAAACCTTGGATAAATTAGGCCTGTAGGCAATTCTGAATTCTCTGTTCTGGAATTTCAGGGTAAAATCTGATAAAGTGGAAAGGCAAGTGCCGGTGTTTTCAGAAGCTGTGTGGATTGGTTTCATTATGTGCAACTAAGCACTTGGAACACCCCCTCTGTAATTACTGTCTGAGCTGATTTACTAATTATTTGTGTATGATAGGAAGCAGTCCCAGTCTGTGAACTCTTGAATTGTTTCTGCAGAGCATGCAGGAGGTTTTTCACTTCTAAATAGTGCAATTTTTTATATGTTATATACAAATACAGATATTTATACTTTTATACATATTTTGTTATATTAAATAATTTAATGGGAATCTGGTGAGTATGTCGAGGATGGTCTATAAAAATTAAATGTCAGTTTCCTTTTCCAAAGATCACTTATGGTTGCTCATTTTGTGCTCAGGTATCACTAGAGGGTAGGTTTGACAGGAAATAAAAATCATCCTCCTTTAGAGGTTCACTGTGCTCCCGATGTGTTCTGGTGCCAGGTCGCCTGATGCGCTGTGTGCGGTGCCCGGTTGCGTACCACTCCAACGACTTCTGCCTCGCTGCTGGCTCCGTGGTCCTCGCCTCCAACAGCATCATCTGCCCCAATCACTTCACTGCACGGAGGGGCTGCCGCAACCACGAGCACGTCAACGTCAGCTGGTGCTTTGTCTGTTCAGAAGGTGAGACGGTCTGCGCTGGGTCCCCTGGGTCTCCCTTCCTCCAAGGAATGCCCAGACAAGAAGTCTAATGAGCAGGCAGAAGCTTTGCCCATCCAGAGTCTTCCAGTGAGAACTGCAGAGAGCAGATTGCCTTCCTATCCATCTGCATTTAAGACCAATTTCAGGCTAGGGCTTTTTCTGGGTCCTTAAAAGGGGTCTTTTTACAGCATGAGTAGGGCACAACTTTTGAAAAGGGTTTGCAGAAGGGTATCATGCCCTTTTCTCAGCTGTGTCTGTCTGAAAGTGTGGAGTCCAGGGCTTCTGTGCAGTGACCTGATAAACTCCTCCTCCTTTTCTTTGCAGGGGGCAGCCTCTTATGCTGTGAGTCGTGCCCGGCTGCATTTCACCGCGAGTGTCTAAACATTGAGATGCCAGAGGGAAGCTGGTATTGTAACGATTGCAAGGCAGGCAAAAAGCCACACTACAAGGAAGTAGTCTGGGTGAAAGTCGGGCGCTACAGGTAGGTGAAAGTAGAACAGACTTGTCCCCATCCCTTTTTCATGCAATGCTCATGGTGACTGAGGTGAAAAGATGCTCCTCTCTTCAGGGTACAGTGCAGCAGCCTCTGGCTTTTTAACATCCATGTAGCAGGTGGTAAAATGTGTGCTTCCCTTCTCCAGTAAGCCACCAGCCTTGCTGGCAGCTCTCACACACTTTTTCCCCATGTCTCCATGCACTCTTCTGAGGCAGTTGGAAGTGAGCAAGCCAGAGGTTTCATGCCCTTCCCTGTGTTGCAGGTGGTGGCCCGCTGAGATTTGCCATCCTAGGACAATTCCTGTCAACATCCAGAAAATGAAACATGACATCGGTGAGTTCCCTGTGCTGTTCTTCGGCTCCAAGGATTACCTGTGGACCCACCAGGCCCGTGTGTTCCCTTACATGGAAGGTGATGTCAGCAGCAAAGACAAGATGGGGAAGGGCGTGGATGGCATATACAAGAAAGGTAATTTGTCTTCATCCAGGGAGGTACATGTTCTTTTTATCTTCTTTTGCATTTGAAGAAGTGGCATTCTTGTAACAGAGAAAAATGTCATCTTGGAGCTAAAGTGAAATTAATTTTGTAGAATGAGCTGCAGCTTATCTATTATCTGGTGTACTCAGAATGTTTGTTGTCTGACTCCCAGGGACCTCAAGGGTCCGTGCTGGGACCGATACTGTTTAACATTTTTATCAATGATATAGACAGAGGGATTAAAGGCACCATCGGCAAGTTTGCAGACGACACCAAGCTGTGTGGTGTTGTCGATACACCAGAGGGATGGGATGTCATCCAGAAGGGCCTGGACAGGCTGGAGAGGTGGGCCCAGGTGAACCTCATGAGGTTCAACGAGAACAAGTGCAAGGTTCTGCACCTGGGCCGGAACAATCCTTGCCATCAGTACAGACTAGGGGGTGAGGTATTAGAAAGCATCCCCAAGGAAAGGGACCTGGGGGTGCTGCTGGACGAGAAGCTGGACATGAGCAGGCAGTGTGCAGTTGCAGCCCAGAAGGCCAATCACATCCTGGGCTGCATCAAAAGATGCATTGCTAGCAGGTCCAGAGAGGGGATTCTTCCGCTTTACTCTGCTCTGGTGAGACCTCACCTGGAGTATTGTGTGCGGGTCTGGAGCCCTCAATATAGAAAAGATATGGACCTGATGGAGTAGGTCCAGAGGAGGGCCTGCTCTAGGGGGTTGGACTACCTCTGCTACGAGGGAGCTGGGGTTGTTCAGCCTGGAGAAGAGGAGGCTCCAGGGAGACCTAGTAGCAGCCTTCCAGTACCTGAAGGGGGCCTACAGGAAGGCTGGGGAGAGCCTGTTTACAAAGGCCTGTAGTGACAGGACAAGGGGTAATGGCTTTAAGCTGGAGGGGAGCAGATTTAGATTGGAGATTAGGAGAAAGTTCTTCACTGTGAGGGTGGTGGAGCACTGGAACAGGTTGCCCAGGGAGGTGGTTGAGGCCCCATCTCTGGAGATATTCAAGGTGAGGCTCGATGAGGCCCTGGGCAGCCTGGTCTAGTTGGGGGTGTCCCTGCTGACTGCAGGGAGGTCAGACTAGATGCCCTTTGGAGGTCCCTTCCGGCCTGGACAATTCTATGATTCTATGAGAGAGAATGCTTCTCCAGCTCTGACATAGCTGCTGTAAATCCAAGTGAGCTGCTGCTTTGTCAGCTTCCCTGGGTCTAATGCAGTCTTTACTGTATATAAAAATGCACCTGAGAGTTGTTAATGCAGCTGCTTGACACCTCTGCCCAAAAGCAGGCAAAGCTGGCTGACAGTTTAGATGCTTCATCACCCACAGATGGGTTCTTTACTGTAACTCCTGTGACTGTCCTACTGCATTGGCCTTTTCTTCACCCTCCTCCAGTGAACCTCTGTCTTTGAAGCACATGGCCATGAGCACATGGTGGACACTGGCAGCCCAGCTCTCTGTGAGCAGAGGGAGTTCCTCCTAACGCAGCCTGTTCTCTCACTTAGCTCTTCAGGAAGCTGCAGTAAGATTTGAAGAGTTGAAGGCACAGAAAGAACTGAGACAGCTTCAGGAAGACAAAAAGAATGACAAGAAACCTCCTCCCTACAAACACATCAAGGTGAGGGCAGGTGGGGGTGGTCAGGTGCGGAAGAGAAGTCTTGAGCTGTTGATGAAAGTGATTTACAGGTATACACAAACATTTCTACTCTTTGGGCATGTGTGGCTGCATTTGAAGGTTACTTTGGTCCTCTTGCCATCTTCAGTTATCCTCCCCAGAAAGGATTCATGTATGCACAGAGCTGTGTGGAAGCTGGACACCAGTAATGGAGGTACTCTGGTTTACTGGAACAGATCTGGACATCTCTGTGCTGTTCCTTGTCAGTTGCGTGGTCCGAAGGAAGTGTCTCTCTGCCCTGGGGACTTAGGGGACAGTGCTAGTGATCCACAATATGCTCAGGTTCTGTGTGCTACTGATGGCAAGGTGGGCATCCCAGGTGGTGTGAGGTAGGAGATGGTCAGGGTGCAGTGGAGTAGAGCTGTGTGGAGGATGATAACCCACAGTATTTTGCTTGTTTCATCTCTGTTGTTGTTTTATCTCTCTTTCTATACTAAACAAAAATACTAAAGCAGATGCATGTGTCACAATATCAGCCTTCTTCATGTTTAGGGCTGTATTTTAGGTAAAATTGGAGTAGCATAGAAAGCCTACAGGATGGAGGTGACGTGAGAGGAGAGCTGGGGCCAAGCAGGTGCATGTGCTTGAGATGTGGGTCCAGACTGACCAGAAATTCAGTGACTCGGGGAATGTATTCTTCTTTCATTGCCTCTGTTTGCTCCTTCCATTTTCTGTGTGGCAGCCTATTAAAGCTTAACTGCTTGCTAACAGTTTTTGTTCCTAGATAGGATTTCTGGGTAAGCAGGTACATCCTGCATGAGTTACTGTACAGTGTAAAGAACACAACTGGATGCTGCAGCAGCAGTGTGGGCCAGGCAGCTTCAGTGGAAGAAGTATAGTTTCTCATTATAGGTATTTTTAAGTTTGTCACTGGCCATAACATGAAGGAACCTTGGAAGCAGTTTGGATCCTTTGAAATACCCTTTTGTATAAATAATAAAAGTGATGATCATTAGCCATGGCAGCTCTTCTGAGGTCTGGGTGCAAGCTGTTTGTCTCTGTGAAAGCAATGCAGTTTGTAGGAGCATACGGTGAACTGGAGAAGGCTTCAGGGTGGAATGGCCAAAGCTGGCTGTGTCTGCTTCTGTTTTGGCCTTCTAAGGAGATCAGCACCTCAAGGTCCATCCCAAGGAGCGCCAACGTGAGAGGCTGCTGCAAAATACACTTGGGATTCTTCATCACATCAGGGTTGGGGCTAATCCAAGCATTGCCATGTTTTGGAGCTGGTTTTGTACCAGCAGTGCCTCAGAGAGTAGCGCAGGCCTGGTTAGCGTGTGTATGTGTTCAGACACTGTGATCATTTGGGGTGGCAGTCCAGAGCCAGCAAGGGCCCCTCTGTTTGCACAGTGGTGGATGAACCTAATCCTGAGTCTCATCATTCTTAACGAGGCGATGAGCTAACAGTCTGAGTAAGAGACATGATACAGCAGATGAGAAGACAAGAGTGACAAGGAAGGTTGGAGGTGAGAGACAGAACTAGGAGGAAGGGAAGACTGTGTTGAAGAGATTAATCAGGGGTTTCTGCAGGGCTTGCTTTTGAACAAAGGAGGAGGATGGGGCTAGGCCAGCCTCAGGCAGGCTGCCAGCACAGAAAGTTTGCTCTGTGGGTGGGACTAGATAAATTATGTGGGGGCTGGAATAGTTCTGGTAAATGATCCCCTCCTTTGGTTTTCTGGGAGAGGAAAGGGAGCTGATATTGCTCGCCAGGGCAAAGAACAGCAAGGAGCTTTGCTTCAGTGTCTGTCTCCAAAGTCCTGACTCTCTGTTGCCTGCCTTTCAGCGGTCGCTGCCTTTAACCAAAACCAAAGGACCCTGCTCGTGCCACAGACACGCCAGTCGCTTCTCCACCTGGTGCTGCGCTCTGCTTCCTTCCGGAGCGGGTTTTAGAGAGCTCCTTGGCTTAACTCTGAGCTCCTCTTTGGGCCTTCCAACGCCAGCCTTGTCTGGTTTTTCTTTCATTTACGTCTGCAGGACAGTTGGGTAGGGAGCTATCTGCTGGTGGCATGGTGCATAGGTAGCCCCTCTGTACTCTGTCATGGGCACGCCAGCCTGGTTCTCTCCTAGTGACAGCTGAGAGGACAAACCATCCTGAAGGTAACAGATAAAAAAAACAGAGCTGTAAGGAAAAGGACCTGACACACACAAAGACTGGAGAAGGTGCTATTTCATGCAGAAAATGGTTTGGTGTCTGTCACAGGTACAGTGTGCACCCAGCTGGAGTGCACCTGGGCTGGAAGTAGGCACAGTGGTGATGGGAGGGGGACACTTGGCAGCCTCTCCCTGCTCTGGGGTCACAGAATATGCACTGCACCAAGTGATGCTGATGGGGGACCTGCATCCTCCTTAACTCTTTCCCCTAACCATACACCTCTTGAAATAGTGTGCCCAGAAGTACGTAATGTCTGTACTTGTGTCCTTCTGCCCCTTGGTGTAGGTAACTTACACTGCAGCCTCTCAGCTCCTAGGTGAGGGTTGAGTATAGAAGTGACTATCATGATGACGTTCTTAAGTAGCTAACATCCTTCATGTACATTCAAGGTGAACCGACCGGTGGGTAAGGTGCAGATCTTCACTGCGGACCTGTCTGAGATACCGCGTTGCAACTGCAAGCCCACCGATGAGAACCCCTGCGGCCTGGACTCCGAGTGCATCAATCGCATGTTGCTCTACGAATGCCACCCCATGGTTTGCCCTGCTGGGGAGCGCTGCCAGAACCAGTGCTTCTCCAAGCGGCAGTATCCCGAGGTACAAATTTTCCGCACGCTGGCACGAGGCTGGGGCTTGCAAGCCAAAACAGACATCAGAAAGGTACGTACTGTGTTTCTGCGTGTAATTTTCTCTTGCCACTTCTCTCTTACTCAGTGTTGGTTCAATAGATTCGAAAAGTTACTGCCTTCCATAATTTGAAGAAGACTGTTTCCCATAGCATGCCATTTAGGAAAGAGATGGATCAATTTAACTTTTCCAGTCTCCTGGCAAGAATGTTTTGGCTCAGCTAACCAAGAAAATGGTTTGCGTGTTGATGTCCCACAGGGTAAGGAAGATGATTGCTTGCTCTGTGTGTTTGTATAGACCATAGGCTTTGAGTACACCAGAACACTGGCCTGAAAATGGTGTTTAGGATTTCCAGATGCGGAACAATGATTATACTTCCTCCACATTCTTGAATAGCCAGGCTTTTCCACCATGAGAATCTTGTATGAGAAACTAAAACCAGGGCTTTACTCTTACAAAAGGGTAATATTTTGCAATGGGTGTTGTTATTGCTGAAATTGGTATCTCCAGCTAAAACACTTGTATATATATTTTTAAATCCAGAGAATAGATGTTCTGTGGACGCATGTCTGTGCTGAATGAAGAAGGAAGAATGCTAAACCAAAGAGAACTGCAAAGCTAAGAAGGGGTGAAGTGAAAGATGGCCCAGTTAGCATAGTGGGAGAATAATATGTGAAAAAGAAGGGAGTAGGGACAGCATGCTATGGGAGACGTCTTTATAGCAATAGGAAAGATGTGAGTCCATCCTGTTTAGGCTTTGTGCCTGCTGTGATACAGGTTAAAGGATCTCTCTGCCGTTCCATGTGCCTCTTATGTTTTGCTTTCAGCAGACAGCCTGAAAACAGCAAAACTCAGCCATTTCATGGAGACACCTATTAGCCCCAGTGGAGCAGAGCTGGGGTGTTCCCTCTGAGGGTTGAAGTCTCTGTGTGCTTCACTGCAGGGGAGCTCCAGGGATTCACTACAGGAGCAGGTGCCCTGGGTGCATCGTGCTGCTCAGTGTGCTTGGTCCCCAAAGGGATATTGTTTCCAGCCGGAATGCAGTTGTGCAGTGCTTAGAGCTTTGCAGCAAAGAACTGTTCTTCTGGTTTACTTTTATGCTGTTCCTGAATGTTAATTCTTTCTGTAGCACAAAGAATAATCTGAGGGCCTTTGTTGCTTTATTTAATGTATTTCAAATTATTTGTTGAGTGTGTGAAACAGATGTATGATTCAGGGCTCTTAGTGAAGAGTATAGGTTAAACTGGCTGCAAAGCACAGAGGAAGATTTTTATAGAAATTTTTCCTTCCACAAAGGAAACAGCAACTAAGTTTTAGCACAAAAGTGGATGTCCCTCCATCCTGGAGGGAATTTATCTCATCTTATCAGTATGTTATTTTCTGCATGGCAGGGCGAATTTGTTAATGAGTATGTTGGGGAGCTAATTGATGAAGAGGAGTGCCGAGCCCGAATCCGCTATGCTCAGGAGCATGACATCACCAATTTCTACATGTTGACACTGGATAAGGTATGTGGAAACAATTTATCTTGCCAGGATCCTATGCAGAAGTAAAATGATGGCAAGGAATGCTTGATAGTGGTCTTCTCCAGCAAGTAAAAAGGTGCTAAGAGTGGCTGATGACCTGATCTGCATTTTCACTAAAAAGAATAAAAGAATGGACTTAAAGTGCAGTAGAGAAGTTTCAGGTTGGATATTAGGATTAGGAGCAAAGTCTGAACCAACTTCATTGGAGCTTGTTCAGAAGAGGTGAGGTGGTTGTCTGAGGGCAATTGTCTGAGGATCACAGATCCTGCTTCGGTGTAACAGGGTGAATGTAGTAACCTCAGGACCCTTTGCAGCAACTGAACCCTGGAGGGTCCAGAACTGGGCTGATGTGTGCCAGAGAAGGTGTCAGTCCTCAGTTGTACAAGTATGAGGAACAGTGAGACCCTAATTCAAGTTCTGATCACAGGTCTTGCTGGTCTAAGTAGAGAAGTGGAGTTTGTTACCCTCACAGACTCCTCAGTGGGTCCTGGGGGCTAGGTTGTTGGTGTGAGCTCTGGGCTGTTAGAGGTAAGTAGTTTTGTCAGCTGCTTTCCACACTCCATCACTCAACCTTAAGAAAAAGGAAACCATGAAAGCAGGCAGGCGAGGAAGCTTTCGAGTGTGGGTCAGGATAACAACGTGACTGATTTCTGGCTCTCCCCTCTTCTTGTGGAAATTCACACTGACCATGTCTTGTTCTCCTGGCTGATGGATGGGAACAGGGACAAACCAAGTGCTAATATCTTCCCCATTATTACAGAAAGAAATCTCAGCTGCAACTGCCCTCTCCAATATGTCTAAAAACTGGTACTGTACCGTACAGCAGTGTACCTCTCATATCACATACTGTTCCTGTTTTTCTTCTCTACATTGACATGCAAGAAATAGGAACTGATATTTTGCTTTTAAGCAGAAGTCAGGGTCTGAAACCACAAGTGCTGCTTTGGAAGTGTGCTGGTGGCGGTGTTTATCCGGTACTAAGCCCACGGGGAGAGCTGACTTCCCAGAAAGCAGCAGTAGCGCTTTTCTGGCTGTTCAGGAGCTCATCTGTCTTTGAAGAGGAAGATGGTGTTGTGCAGGAGACACATTTTATTTATTACCATTTAATCTGCCAGCCCCGACCGGAGACATCAGTGTGTGGCATCTGGTGCGGGTTGTCCAGGCAGCACAGCGACACCTGTCCCTTCTACTCGGTTAAAACATGTATGAACTGAGGTGCTTTGCAAGCCTCATCAGATGCCTCCGTTGTAATCGTTGTCACTACTAATTAATGCTTTCCTGGTGCCTGTGCTGTGGCAGCTTGGGCAGAAAATGACAGTTCATTAAATGTGTTTTTCTGGATTTTTTTTTCCCCCCTTGCAATTCCAGGATCGAATCATTGATGCTGGGCCAAAGGGCAATTACGCTCGATTCATGAACCATTGCTGCCAGCCAAACTGTGAGACTCAGAAATGGTGTGTGAATGGTGATACTCGGGTTGGGCTCTTCGCAATTGTAAATATCAAAGCTGGTAAGAAACCCCCCTCTGTCAGTACCTGCAGTTAAAAGCATGGGAGAGATTCTGTAAGGAAAAGGGAGGGGTTGGAACTCCCTGGAAAGATACTTATTTTTTGTTTTCACACATGCAGTCGTGAGACTTAACACCAGCACTGACATAATGAAACACATACATCCATGTTGTAAATGGAGGTTTCTAATTTACAGGGTCAGGAAATGGAACTAAGCGTCCTACAGCAACGTGGGGTTGAATGCCCTTCTGGCTGTAGTATGTGGTAGGAGTGTGGGGTTGCACTGAATTTTCAATCCACACAGATCCATGGGGAGTTTAATACTTGGTATCCTTGTATAGTTGTGATGGACATTTGTGTTGTTATATTTCAAAATTCCTTTTACTTCAACAGTAAGATGTTCTGCCATGTAGTTCATTACAACTTGCTTGGTTTTGATCTGCTTTTGTGCCAGGGACTGAACTGACTTTCAACTACAACCTGGAGTGTTTGGGAAATGGAAAGACCGTTTGCAAATGTGGTGCCCCAAATTGCAGTGGCTTCCTAGGAGTCCGGCCAAAGGTATGATGCCCCCTTTAAGCCTTTGTTATTCTCAATCACCTCTTTGCATAGATAGCTATCGTTTGTTGCAGACATCTCAGGAAGGGTAATCCCTCAGGAAGGGTAATCCATTTTCAGCGTGGCCATAAAAGCACCACTTGAATTGAGTTGGATATTCAAGTTTTCAGTCTGAGAGTGCAGATCTTAGACCCGAATTATTAGAGTTGCTGTAAATGCTATTAGGAAATTGTATTTTATAACAAAAGAGGACATGAAAGATTTTTTTCTCAGACTTTCCTGCTTACTAGCATGACAATTTCCATCATGTTAGAGGTGCAAAGGACAGGCATGGGAAAGACTTCCATGATACAACCAAGAAACCATGGTGTAGCCCATTTTCCAGAGAAAAGGCCTGAGTAAATTGTGAGCATGCACAGAATGCCAGCAAACTCACATTCCGTCAGACTTGGAGTCATTCTAGAGGCAGAAAGCTTCTACATCACCATCTTTGCTGCAATAAGAAAGTCCCTGGTTTTCTTTTTCCTCCTTTTGGTTAAGCTACTGGAGTGCATAAATCAGGCAGGAATAAGAAATTTGCGATATCTGTGGTAGAAAAAACACTAGCTTTTAGACCTCACTGACTTTTGAGAGCTTCATGTTGTAACTGTAACGTTGCAGTAACAGGATTTGATTCCGATTACCTTCTTGTGTGAGCTGGTTCTTGCTGGGAAAAGAAAATAGCAGGAACAGTTGGCTGAGCTCCCAGCTGTCCCCAACTAAATCTATGTCTCAGCTGTTGGTTTGTTCCAAGAGTTTCACCAAATCAGCCTGTAATCCCTCTGTGCTGGCATGTGGATACTGTCAGCTTGGTTGCCCACGCTTAAGGGTTAAAAGCTCCAGCAGCGCAATTGTTAAGCCCTGACAATATATAGGGAAGGTTTTGTGAATTCTCCAGAGAGCTTAGTTCTGCAAAAAAATTAACTTATGAAAAAAAAAAAAATAAAAAGTCTATAGAAGTTGACAGATGAGGTGAATTACACATCTGATGTATTTAGTTCTTTTTTGGGTTGTGATTTAAAGTTCAATTGATTTTGTGCTGCTACTATGTTATACATTGCTCGGCTGCCATTTTTGCCCCAAAATTGCAAGTTGCATGATGGAAATCAGAGAAAGGTGCCCTTTAGTTGGCATTAATGTTCCATTGTGATGCCTGAGGCGACTCATTCCATCTTGATGAGACAGGCTAAAAAACAATACTCAAGAAAACAGTACCTTGGGGTATTTTTTTTTCAAATTCATCCCACAATAAGTTGCATTTTTAAGCTTCCTGAAGATACAGGAAGACAAAACTTCGCTGATTATACTCAAGTTCACTCTTAAAAGTGTCCTTTCTATCTGGGAGTGTGGAAGAACGCTTGAGAGTCTATTGTGCTGCAGTGAGCAAGTGGGAATCGCTTAGTCCAGCTGTTAGACCTTGCTTAGACATTCAAATTAGCTGTGAAAGGTTTTTCTTGTTCCCTTTGTAATTAGATGGCTGAGGTACTAGGCGCTGAGAATAGGTGGAATAGTTTAGGTGGAGTGATTTCACTGCCTGCAATTTCAACGATAAGAAAGGCCTGACTTGTCCTCATTGTCACTGGGAATGATGGCATGAAAGCAGAAGTATCCACTTCTGAAGGGGAAGGAAACAATCGAGAGATATAACTCCCTGGTGGCAGGACCGCTGCCAAATTCTGAAATTGTAGGTCTGGAGACAAAAGTTTTTAAATGTTTTGATGGTTTTGTTTTTAATATTGATAGGAGAGTGATGGAAATAGTGCCCAATATTTATACGGAATAAAGGATGCAAAAATCATTTCATAAGCATCGTCTCGGCACACAGAGGTGTTGTATGTGGAGAACGCATATTTAGACATGAAGATATGTGTAAAATGGCATAAAATTTAGCTCATATCTGTTTAGACAAACTAAACTGATAGTGGCTTGATATGGTCACTGCCAGGGGACAGCTGTCATCATCTTTGTGGAGCTGAGTGTTTGGTACAATGGGAGGCTCAGCCTTCAAGCAACTGTGCTAGGGGGTTAGGAATGGTGTGAGAACCACGGTTGAGGTGGGGTGGGAGGGAGAGGCAGCCTTGGAGAAAGCCTTGGGCCAGAGAAGAGAGCACTTAAGCCATTAAGATGCCAATCTTGAGACCAGTTGAGATTATTTCATTACTGCCTGTAACACAGCTGTTGGAAGCGTGGTAATTGAACTGTACTGATGACACACAAAGATGTCAGATGTTATCGGTGTGGGAGGATGGGGCAGTTGCAGAAAAATAACTGAATATAACTGGGAATGGGCTGGAGTTCAGAGATTCAGGACACCAGAGTACAACACCTGGAGGGTAACAGCAGGAGCAAATCTGCCATGAGAAGATCATGGACGAGCAGTCGTGATGGAGAAGTAGCCGTTGTGCAGTTCAGCTGCCGCAGGACTGAGCTGCTGTGGTGAAGAAGGCAAATATGTGCAGTGCTTTGGGAGGGATTTCCCATTCTTTTGGAGAAGTATTGATGGTGCACATGGCCTGCGAGGCGTCATCTGAAATAGCATGTATAATTCTGGAACTTGTGTTTGGGAGAAATAAACTCAGTAGGGGCAGAGAAAAGCTCAGAATCACAGAATGATATGGGATTGGAAGGGACCTCTGGAGATCATCGAGTCCAAGACCCCTGCCAGAGCAGGTCCACCCAGAGCAGGTTGCACAGGAACGTGTCCAGGTGGGTTTTGAATGTCTCCAGAGAAGGAGACTCCACCACTTCCCTGGGCAGCCTCTTCCAGGGCTCTGCCACCCTCACAGGAAAAGTTTCTCCTCACGTTTAGGTGGAACTTCCTATGATCTAGTTTGTGCCCATTACCTCTTGTCCTGTCCCTGGGCACCACTGACAAAGGCTGGCCCCATCCTCTTGACACCCACCCTTTAAGTATTTATAGATGTTGATCAGATCTCTCCTCAGTCTTCTCCACACTAAAAAGACCCAAGTCCCTCAGCCTTGTTGCAATGTTGACACAGGAGCAAAAAGGTCTAAGCTGGTCACAGATAAATTCAGACTGAAAATAGAGAGAGGGGTGAGAAACATCAAAAAGTGCAGGAAGGCTTGGGAAAGACTCATGAGAGTCACAGCTGCCAGGAGACACCATTGCTTTGACTGAGGACCTGAAGAGTTTGTGAGAGGTGGCACAAGCTCATCAATGCCAGGCAGCCCCTGGGTCCTTTGTTCATAATATCACATGATTGTACAGGGCCTCCAGACTTTTCCAAAAGAAAAAAGAACTATTTGCTATAGTAAATCGATTGCCAAATATTAAGAAGCACTGTGGAGATGCTACATATGTCTCAGGTATAGTTGGCAGTGGAATTTTTATTTGCAGCATTGCAGTTACTTCCACTGTAGCAGGGAGGGAACAGATGGAAGGGGCAGAGACCTGCATTAACTCATGTTGTTCTCACCCACAGAGCCAACCCAACCTCACCGAGGAAAAGTCCAAGAAGCTAAAGAGACGGCCACAGATGAAGCGCAGGTCGCAAGCGGAGGTGATGAAGGAGCGAGAGGACGAGTGTTTCAGCTGTGGGGATGGAGGGCAGCTAGTTTCTTGTAAGAAGTCAGGCTGCCCCAAGGTGTACCACGCAGACTGTCTCAACCTCACCAAGAGACCTGCAGGTCAGTGCTCTGCATGGCTGGACTCTGCGTGGGTCACAGCAATGGTTCAAGGTGTCCCAGGTACTGCTCATCACCTTGCACTCACTTCACATTGTCTTAAAACAGAGAAATCTCTCTCACTTTGAACAGACTTTGTGGCCCACACGACACAACTCACCCTAGTTTGCTCCCTACTGACCACAAAAGATGAATTAGTTGCTGAAGGGCGAGGTGTCTTTGTCTAAGAAATTATTCTTGTGAGGTGACCCCATCCCTGGGGCCTGGCAGAGGACAGTCCCAACAATAGCTGAGATGCTGGTTCCTCAGGCTGTTTTCTCAAAGTTGAAGACAATTGTTTGAATTGATAGGAGTTAAAAGAAAAATGTGTTAAATGTCTTAATATTCATGAGTTCATACTTAAAGAACAGAACAGTATCAAAGCATATCCTAGTTTGTTGAAATGAGGGCAGAAATTTGAAATAAAAGGAAAAAGTATTCAAAAAGTACTTCTAGTTGAGTGCAGAGAAAGAAATGGGCTCCCTGTGTGAGTGATAAAACACTTTCTAGGTCATTAGTAGCTCAGAAGGTGTAAAGTAACATCTAGTAGAGAGCAAGATGAAGTTGCATGTAAGTTTTTAAGGAGCTGGTTGAGGGGGAGCATTTCCTCTGTTGTTTCAGTTTGTCTTGGTTACTAAAGGAGTTCCTGAGACCTTTAATGAGGGTTCAGGTTTCACCAATGCTCAGAAAAGGGCAAAGTCTGACCCAAGTCTTGATAGGCCAGTTAGCCCCATGCCAGGATGATGGAAAAGCTGATAAGAGATCAAATGCCTAAAGAATTAACTGGTAGGAATAGAAACAATACTAGATGACATTTTTTTGGGGTAGAATAACTCATCAAACCTAATTTAGGGGGTTTTGCTAAGACAATAAATTTGGTTAATAAAAGCAATTGCATTGAAGTAACTTGTTTAGGGGGCTGTAAATCTTTTGATTTAGTACTGTAAGCCTTGTCATAATTAAAAATTCTCTATGCAGCTCAGTACAGTATTTTCTGAGCACATAAGAGACAGGCTGAGAAACATGGAACCAAGTGGTAACTGCCAGGAGAGTCACTGTGACAGAGTGTTTCTGTCAGCGCGCCGTGGGGAGCCAGAGCTGAGCACTCAGCACCTCGAGCTGTAATTTGGCAGAAGGTGGAGAAGGGCTGGTAGCGTATTATGTAGATGATAGAAATTATGTGTGTGCATGCGTTAAGTTTTGGGGAGAGCAGGGCATTTATACAGAAGAGCTTGGAATTGCTCATTGAACAAACACTGTAACAGAGCAATGTGAAAACCAGCGGGAGCACAGGTCATTCCTATGGAAAGAAACGTCATCGTTCTGGTTGAGGGAGTCCTGAGTATCACCTCTCTATCTATTTTTGTGTGCCGAGACAGGGCACTGTAACATCCTGGCAGGCTTCCCCATGCTTTAAAGTCTCCAATGAAGGAGAATCCAGCATTTAGCCTGCTCCCCTGCTTTCCATTTGAAAAGTTTCTCCTAACAGCTTGTCTTGAAAAAAACAAAAGGATTGCCATCTCTCTCTGATACCCCCCCCCTTTTTTTTTTTACACGATGGTTTTTTATATCCTTGATCCTTTTTCATCTTACATAAACACAGCCTCTCCTTGCAGCTATTATTTTATAAAATGGTTGTTCTTGATCTGCTTTGGACTGTCCCACCTGCCTACACATTTTTTTGAATTGTGGTAACAAGAAGTATTTTAACAGTATTGCAGCTGAGGCCTTACTAGCACTGACAGAACAGAATAATTATGTTTTATGTTTTACATAAAATATCTCAGGAAATTGGATTTGACATGTTTTTTAAAAATAACATGATGTTTGTGATTTGTCCTGTCATTCTTGAGTCCTCTTGTCTTGATGCCTTTCATGTATGTATTTTCTTTCTTCCTTCTGCAGTCCTGCTTTGCACTGGTCTTTATTTAATTGCACCTTGCTGGTGCAATTTAAATTCTGAGCCTGTCTAACCGGATTTTTGCAGTTCCTCACAGCCTTGTTGTCATCTACCCGTTTCTGTAAGAGTATTTAAATTAAAATACAGACTAAAGTAGACTCCTGAAGGAAATAATTGGAAATGTCCCCTCAATTTGCCAGAATACCATTAATAGCAGTTTTCTGGGAATGTTTTTCAGCCAGTTGTAGCCATTTTACAATTTTTACATGTAGGTTGTTATTTTCATAGCCTGCTCCTTAGAGTGTCATACAGGACATGAAAGGTTCAGCACTTTTTACTTCAAATGTTTCTTCTGCCATGGGCATTGCTGTCAAGTAATTGGAATTTCCTGCTTGTTTGCATGTTACTAATTGTGTGATCTTACTTCCAAGAGCTCCTCTGCTCTGGGCTGTCTCTGGAGAGGCTGCTTATTCATTAGGCCTTTTATCCTGTCAAAGACCATTAGAGTGGTTTGATAGGATTTACCCTTCCTGCAACATACTGGCAGGTTTTGAGTTATTTGATTTTCCCTCCATACAAATGACCTTTTATATTAATAGTCCCAGAGCCTTTCCAGTGGCCAAAGTGAGTGTTGACTGGGTTGCTGACAGTGTGAGGAGAGCAGCGGCAGCCTGTGCTGCAGCACCAGAAGCCTAAAAGAGGGAAAACTGTGTAGTGTTAATCATTCCCGCTCTGAAAATGATGCTGGAAAATTTGAGAAGATGGAGAAAAACAATGTATGTATTTTGAGACTGGAACAGGAGCCTTGGATTGGCTTCAAAGGAGGGAAAAACATGTTACATGTCTTCAATCCCAGGGGAAAAGTAGCGTGAGAGAGGGGAGTGGAAAGCTGGTGTTGCACAAGTGCATGGAGAAATGCTCACTGCTGCTCAGCACCATGCTGCAGCTGTGCTCGCTTCCAGCCTCCCTGGAAAGAGCTGGTAGCCAAAGCCACAGATGTGTGGGCTCGGTTCAGGGAGGCTGGGAAGTGCTCTGGCCCAGCTGGTGTCCACAGCTGCAAATGGTCTCACTGTTCTTGTGTCCATGAACTGGTGAGAAGACAGCAGCATCAGGTTTGGCTGGGGGAACAAAGGGCTGATGAACCAGTGAGGTCATCTACAAGTGAAAGAAAAGCAGCAGTCTTCGAAATGTAATGTTGGTTTTTTCCTCGGTGATGGTGTTGGTATTGATAGTGAAGAGGTTCAGCGTGGACATGGAGCTCTTCAGGGTGCAGCTCTACGTTGTGATAAGCGGTTCTTTTTATTACGGCCTTACACAGAGGTTAGGGGTATAGAGACAAATAGAAATGTACTCCCTTGTGATCACTGTACTTTCACTTCTTCTTTCTCATAAATGGGAAGGGAAGTTGTTGGGCCAGGATTAACAGAGACTTAAATGAACCTGATGCATCTACTTAAAAAGTCCACTGGGTGTATTATACACAGATACCACTGCTGTTGTCTGTGGAAATCAGAGCCACGGCGATGTGCAAGCTGGGGATGTCTGCTTTTCTCTAGGCACCTGTATTGGTTAGTGTTGTGCTGGAGCCAGATGGGCTTTTGGTTTGACCTGGGGTGGCTCATGTTTGTCATGATTATCATTGCCCTTGTTGGTTCTGAGAAAGCAAGTTCCTGTTAACTGCCTGTCAAGCCTGGGAGCTATGGCAGAAACTGAGGAGTACATGTAGAATTGTATGGAATTATCACAGGGGTGTTCCCCCTCTCCCTTGAACTCCCAGTGCAGCAGGCTTTGTCTCTTCCCTTGTACCACTCCTAAAGTATGTCTTTTCTCCTGTGTCTGTGCTACAGGAAAATGGGAGTGCCCGTGGCATCAGTGTGATATGTGCGGTAAGGAAGCAGCTTCCTTCTGTGAGATGTGCCCCAGGTCCTTCTGCAAGCAGCACCGGGAAGGCATGCTCTTCATCTCCAAGCTGGATGGACGTTTATGCTGCACAGAGCACGATCCCTGCGGGCCTAACCCTCTAGAGCCGGGAGAAATTCGTGAGTATGTGCCTCCCATAGAAACCCTGGCTAATGGCGAGGACACCCAGCCACCGGAGCAGCCACCTGCAGACACGGACCTGAGCGTTCAGCCTCTGGACAGCCTACCTCAGTCTGTGGCCCTCAGACTGCAGTCACCAGAAAAGCCCCCCGCTACCCTAGCGCTGAGGCTGCCGCCTTCAGACAAGCCCCCCACCACCCTAGCCCTGAAGGTGCAGCCATCAAACAAGCCCCCCACCACCCTGGCCCTTAGGCTGCCTCCACCAGACAAACCGCCCGCCACTCTGGCACTGAGACTGCCGCCGTCAAATAAACCCCCCACCACCTTGTCGTTGAGGCTGAAGCCATGCAACAAACCCCCCACCACCCTCTCGCTCCGGCTGCAGCCTTCGGACAAACCTCCCACCACCCTCTCGCTCTGCCTGCAGCCATCGGACAGGCCCCAGGCTGCCCTGTCCCTAAGGCTGCAGTCAGAGAAGCAACCCATCATCGTAGCGCTGAGGCCTCAGCAGCCCGACAAACCTCCCACCAACGCGGTGCTGTGGCCACTGGATGAGTCCTCCGGTGATGCCTCGCAGCCTCATCTGCCGAGCAAATCTCCTCCAGGAACTCCACAGTCATCGGATGAGTCAATTGTTACTCCTGGTGCCCTGCAGCTCCAGCTGTCGGACGAGCCTCCTGCCACCCCCGGGGTTTTGGGGTTATCGGACAAGTCTCTCATTGACTCCGAGACCCAGCAGCCTGAGCTGCTGGATGAGTTCCCAACAAAATGCCTGCATCCTCAACTGTCGGACAGACTTCTCGCCACGGCAGAGACGCTGCAGTCCCAGCTGGTGGACGAGCCTCCTGTGGCCGAGCAGCTTCAGCTGTTGGATGAAGCTTCTGCCCAGAGTCCGCAGCCGCAGTCTGTGGAAAAGGCTCCCAGTGGAGCTGTGGTGCCACAGGTCCCAGCATCGGAGATGGCTCCCAGTCCTGGGGTTCTGTGGCCTCTGCCTATTGAAAAAGTCCCTGGCTCCCCAGTCTCACGGATCCTGCCCATGGAGAAAACTCCTGGATTGGCTGTGCCACGGCCCCCACCTCCGGAGAAGGCTTCCTTCTCCGGGGCAGGATGGGTCCCAGCCGCAGAGAAAGCTCCCAGCTCTGGGGCACCTCATCCCCTGCCTCCAGAGAAAGCTCCTGCCTCGGTTATGCCACGGATCCTGCCCACAGAGAAGGCTCCCAGTTTAGGCACGCTGCGGCCCCTGCCTCTGGAGAAGGCCCCTGGCTCCCGGTCACCACACATCCTGCCCATGGAGAAGTCTCTTGGCTCAGGGGCCCTGCGGATCCCACTCACCCAGAAGGCACTGGCCCCTGGGGTGCTGCGGCCCCTGCCTCCAGAGAAGGCTGCCGACTCCGGGGCCCTGCGGGTCTTGTCTCCGGAGAAGGCTCTTAGCTCCATGGTGGTTCGGCCTCAGCTCTTGGAGAGGCCTCTCACTCTCACAGCCCCGTGGCCTCAGGCGTCGGACAAGCTGGCTGCTGCCGTGGCTCCTCGGCCTCAAGCCCTGGACAAGCCTCCGGCTGCATCGGCTCCGAGGCTGTTGCTGTCGGAGAAGGCGCTGCGGCCCGTCGACCAGAACGCTCAGCCGAAGGAGAGAGGAGCCCCAGCTGTGGAGCTGAGTCCCCAGCAGAAAGAGAGGACCATGTTAGCTGGCGAGCAAATCTCTTGGTCTGCTGGGAAGGTGGTGACGCATGTCGGACAGGTACCTTGGCCTATGGAGAAGCTACAGACGCATGAGCAAACCCACTGGCCCACCGCAAAAGCCCTGACGCCTGCAGAGCAGTCTCCCCGGACAGCGGAGAAACTACCAGAGCCAACGCTTCAGCCCAGCTGGGAAGTGGCCTCAGCCCCCGCAGAGCAAACCCCTTGGACATCAGAGAGATTGTGTGCATTTGAGCAGACCCCTCGGCCAGCCAGGGAAGCGCCAGTGCCCCCGGAGCAGATGCAGTGGCTTGTCACGAACATTCAGACAATTGACCAGATTACTTGGCTGAGTGGAAAAGCACAGACTCCTCGGGGGCAGGACCCTTTGCCTGAACAAAACACAGCGCTAGCCCGTAACCAGGATTCTGTCTGTCGTGAGTTGGCTGACTCAGAGCCAAAGTGAGGTTGGTGAATATGGGAGGCAGGTTTCAGTCTTTTAATGTTTAGGGAGGGGGAATCTTTGTTTTGGTTTTTTTTTTTTTATTCACTTCCCTGAGCCCAGCCCCTAACCCATGCACATCCCATCCATATTCTCTCGTGACATGAGCAAGGACATTCACCTAAGTCTGAGTGTGGCCCAGTCAAAAGGAGAGAGCATCTGTGACCTTTTCCTCTTCCTTTTACAAATGGTAAAGCTGAAATAAAGAGTCCACTCTGGGTAAAAAAATCTCCAATTCCATTGAAATGGTCACATTACTGATCCAGCATGTTAGAGCTCCAGGTCTGATTCGTAGGTGGGTTCCCAGGTACAGCTAGGGGCCTCGCTCTTGTTACTGTGTTTAGAGGAAGCAGATCGGTCAGGCTGCCCTGGGACTGGAGACGTTTTGGGGATCGGACGGTGAGCAGTGTATGCCCTTGCTGGACTCTGGAAGCAGGGAGAGTGTTTATCTATCGTCTGCCCGGGTCTCTGTCCCCGCAGGGTGTTGCTTTGTGAGGTTTGTCTGTACATTTGCTGGGATGCACTGTGTGTGTGGTTTACTGAAGGACAGGTATCGTCTCCAGCTGAGCTGGAGAGGAACCTGCTGCGCTTGCTCAGTGCAGTGTTCTCCAGCAATAGGCAATATCCATTCAGGCTCCTTTGTACAAAGCTGCGACCGGCCAGGCCCAAGAAACGGGGAATCTGAAGGAGAACAGGGAGAAGAGAGATCTTGGAAGAAGCCATCTGGCAGTTTTTTTACATTCTTGTGTCTTAATCCTTTAGCACAGGACATGCGGAGTGTTCCCTGCACTTGAAAACGTTGTGACCTATAAAGCAGCAATAGCAGAGCAGGGCTGAGTGGATTTCCCCACGGTGCTGAGCGCCGCCCTGGCAGGGTGGTGGTGCTCCCTTTCAGATTTCCATCCAGTCTCTTCTTGACGTCTGTCGTTACCATGAGCCAGCAGACTGAGCAATTGTTTCTCCCCTTGCCTCAGACGTGTTCAGGACGTGTTCGCATCATACCTGGTCTTCCCAGCAGCAGGACGCACTGCCATGCTGCAAGTTGAAGCCTGTAGTGTTGGCTGCAGAGCGCGGAGGCAAGGGTGTCCTAGCTGTATCGGGACCCATCTCGACACCTTCCCCTTGGGTAGCTTCTGGCTTAACTCTTCTACAACCAAAGGAGACTTGAATTAACTGGACTGTGTTGGTGTGCGTGTGTGTGTGTGTGCGTGTGTGTGTCCTTCCAACTGAATAGTAGTTCTCACACTGGAACACAGTGGGCTCCAGCAGCTGGCTGGCTTTCTTTTCTTCTCCCTTTTCCAGTTAAGGAGATGTTTAGTACCTGGTGGTCATTGGGCTGGTGTTCAGACTAAGCCTGCTGAAAGCCCTTCACTCAAGCGTTGAGGCAGAAGTTCACTTGGCCGTGGTACTTCTGGGGCAAGCGGTAGATTCCCAGGGACCTGCAGGAGTGGCATCTTGTGACCACCGGCACCCTTGCAGGCAGGAGGACAACGGGCGTCCCTGGGTGGTGCTGCCCAGGCTGGATGGGGTCAGTGTCCTGCCAAGGAAGCGCTCCTGACCAGCATGTTCTCCCACTCTCACAACACATTACCTCTGTGGTTTGCCTGAGCTCTGCCGATCCGGGTGCCGCAGCCTCGGATCTCCACGCCCGCCACCAGACCCTTGTGCAGCTCCAGTGTGTCCTTCTCCTTCCAGGCAGATCCGCAGGTCCCTCCCCGGACAGGGAGCATTCAGCTCCAGGCTGACCCTCTCTGTCCAGTGTTGGGAGCAGGTCATTGTTCCCACCAGCCTTGCAAGTGGCTGCTGCTCCTAGAGCAGACGGTCACAAGCTTTGCAGTTTTCTATGAAGGGAGGCAGACACTTGTGCTGAGACTGATCCTGATCCGTTCTCCTTTCCTGATGTACGCACCCCAAGAAAACGTCCTGCTGTAAAGGCCCGGGTGTGCTGGGCACGAGGGGACATTACCAGTGCTATGGTGCATCTCTTCTCCAGTCCGAATCATTTCAGATCCCTTGTAGAATAGCTAGCGACTTCAAAAAGCTTTATGGCTTATGGAAACTTACTGTTTAATGTTGTTTGTTTTATTTTTTTTTCCGGGAAGACTGGCAGGTCAGTTCCTGCTTGCTGCTGAAACTGGGGAAATGCAAGCAGCTTGTGTTTCTGCGTGACTCCTGCACAAAGGGAATCAGGACAACTCCTCAGAGCCATTGAGGGAGAAGATAATCTAAGGGCATTCATTAACTTTTTTAAAAACAAAATTTAAAAAATGATAATGAGGTTCAGTATATTAAGTATTTATCATGTGTGAGAAGGAAAACAAATCGTGAATTTACATTTATAGGCCTTCCCATGAGCTGGACTTAGTCATGTAGATTGTGTAAGTAGGGTTACCTCTGTGTCAGCCACCCAGCCAGCTACAGCTGTAACCAGAAAGGTATCTGCACTGCTCTGTCCACCTCCGCTTCGCATTGTCACGTGTTAACTAGTTACTTGTTTCATGAAAAATAAACTGTGAATATTTTTGGTGCAGGCTTTTTTAAATCTGTAAAATGGAGAAGTTCTCAATGAATTCTCGTTAAATGCAGGTTTGAAAAAATCACTTCTGTAAATCGTGTGCTCACGTAGTAGGGTGAGGTTCACGGCAGCAGCAGCCTTTTACCCGGCAGGCTTTCACCCAAAAGCTTGTTTTGAACAGTAAATGTGGATTGAACCATTGCATGGCATTTCAAACTCACAGCCTTATTCCTTGCATCTGACTGTACTCCACCTCTCTTCTTGTCTCCTTTCATGCCTTTTCCACGAGGATCTAGATTTCTGGCTTGTTATCTTCCAGCTACGTGCTGGAAGGTTGACTTCAGGGTAGCTGGGAACTGCTCGGTAAAGTTGGTGTTTGGAAATGTCATTGAAGGAGGAAGCCACCAAACTGCTCTTCCCTCATCACTCTCATTGGGCCCCTGGGCGATGCTCTGTCAGATCAGGACAGCTTTTAAGACGTACGTGGGGCTTGCAGAGGGAGTAGTGGTGCTGTTAGGAATTGGTATCTGTGCTGGATCACCTCAGTGGGACAGCAAGACCTGACCAGGTGTGGAGATGGGTCTTGGCACCCCTGCCCTGCCCTGCCCAGCCTGCATTCATCGGTGGTGAGCCATGGGGAACAGCTCCGGGCAACACAACCCTCTTGAAGGAAATACGGGCTTCTTCAGTACTTGAGGAGACTCTGCCTGTTGGTGGCAGCTGGTAGCACTGCCTTGGAGGAGGAGAGTGAGGTGTCTGCACTGAAGTAGTCTGGTTCATTTTCTGTAATTCCTTGCTGCCTTCAGCATTCAGCTGGTTTGAATCATTTGGGTTTTTTAATGTAGAGGAAAGCGGCAGGTAACACATACCCCTGGCAGACCACTCCTGTGGGAGAGAGGCTGCTGGAGCTGGCAGTGGAGCTCAGTCAGCTTTGCTGTGGCTGAGGCCACAGTGCTTGTTTTACTGCATTGGAGGGATCTGATCACTGGGCCACCGACAGTCTGAGGTCAGGCGTAATTGCATCCAAGGTGGGCGAGAGGTGACTCTTGTGTCGATCCACTGTTGTGGAGAGTTGTAGAAGCAGAATCAAGGGTGTAATTATTTCTGCTCAGAGCTGTGTTGCTTTCCCTGCTGTCCCAGGGAGGCTCGTGGTAACTTCCCAGGGTCATGAGCCCATTCCCATTTGTAAGAGTGAGCTCCCCCTTCTGAGCTCTGAAGGATTTATTCCCATACAAATGCTTTGCTGGCAGGACGGCCTGGCTGCCCCAGCTCGGAGCAGTTGGCTGGGGTAATGAGCTGTGGCTTCTGTCTCACACAGCAGGACCCACTTCATGGTGGATTTTGAGGGCTGGCAGGAGAGTCCCAGTTGATCTTTGGCAGTGGAGGAGCTCTGGTGAGGGGTAACAGCATGGGCAGGGACTCAATCTGCCTGCCCAGACAGGGGGGGAGGTTGCAGAGGAGGAGGAGGCAGCACAGGATGCATGGACAGGAGGGGAGCAGGCACTGGCCACTCTCCTTTGTGGCTCATCCCATCTGCACCAACTTGCTGGGCTGGTGCCCACTGTCAGCCTGGGCTCTGGTGAATCCAGCCGAAAAGTGACCGCTGTTAAGGGATAATCCCCTACGGTGCATCTTCAGATAGTAACTAGCTCATGAAGCTTGCTTTATTGCTGTTCTCGAGTTGAAACTTTTCCTATTTAACAAAAAAAAAAAACACACACAAGAACCAGATTCACTTCCATGCACAAAGAGTGCGGGTGGGAGCACGCGTTGTAATTCAGGGTTAAACCCCCCCCAACAGGCACAGGCTTCGCTTTGCAGGTGTGGCTGTTGTTAAAATTCGGGAGATGAGAAAGGTGGTTGAATCTGAAGGACAAAAATGTACTCAGGTGAGACGATGTGGATTGAGGGTGCTAGAAGAGCTTCATGTGTGGGTGTCCATTTTTGTCAGTTGGGTTGACGGTTGGATAAGATGATCTTTAAGGTCCCTTCCAACCTAGAAGATTCTGTGATTCTGTGATGTAATCCACAGTGTGATCTGTGATTATGTCTGTCTGTTTCTAGGATGAATACACCTAGTTTTCACAATGATGAAGACGTTATTTATTCCTGTTAGAAAAAAAAAAAAAAAGAAAGAAGGAAAAAGCAGCCCTAACCCTGATATGTCTCAGCAGCAGTTTAACCTGAGCGTGCTCTGGACGTGTGCTGCTCCTGCCCGGACGCCGCAGCCAGCACTGGGACAGGGCAGGGGGAACTTATTTTGAGAAACCTCAGACCTTCAACACCTTCCGTTTACTTTTAATTTCAGCCTTAACTTCTGATTTTGCTTGATGTTTGGAATAACCGTAATTGTAACCTGCTTGTAATGTGCTTTGCCCTAAATTACTGATGAGGCTTTCAGGCTTTGCCAGCCAGTGAGTGTTAAAGCAAAAGTGGCAAACTGTGCAGCTATGGGGGTAGCCAGCGAGGGCTTGCCCACAGCGTTTGATCAACCCAGGCTTTTGTCTGCACTAATTACTCCCCTGTGACAGTGATAATGAATTTGCAGCCCAGGCTGTGCCTCTCGCAGCAGCACGGCCGGGCTGGTGGGTGCTCGGGGCTCCCCAGGGTCTGGGAGATGGGATGCTGGAGCTTGGGAACCGCTCCGTTGCTTGCCTGGCTTCGGCTGGAGTCTCGCCTGTGGGGTGGCAGTGCCCTTGCTTAGTGGGAGGTGGGAAAAGGCAAAGATTTCTGCTCCGGGTCCTCCAAAAGCGTCCTAAGCCAAGTGTGGCGCAGGGTGACAGCGTGCGTGAGCTTGGGCTAGAGAAGTGGCGGTGATGGACAGTCCCTACAGCACTGAATCTACCTCCTAGGGAAATCTGAGAAATGGGTGTTGCTATGTCCTATTTCAAGGTAAAAGTTTTAATCAGTTTTGCCCTTGGCAAAGCACTTGGGCTATTGTGGTGCTATTGTAAACCGTTTGGCAGCTTAGCACAGTAGGGCTGGACTCACGGCTGCTGGCCCACGGGCTGGAGTTTTTCTTCACCGGCTGAATCCCGTCCCCTGATTGCTGGGGCTGGGCTTCAGCGCACGTGACTGAAACAGGACAAGGCCTGACTCGGTTCCTTTGATTTTTTGATGGTTTTGAGACTCAAACCAGCGTGCCAGTGGGCCCCGGGGGCGTAGGGAGCGAGTGGAGCCACGTGGAGTGAGGCAGGCGTCCGCTAACTGCATGTTCTTTGTGTCCGTTTGGTACTGAGCTGGTTTCAGTTTTTTGGTTTTGGTTTTTTGGTTTGTTTTTTTTTCCCCCCTGCTGTTTCTGAGTTGTTGACTTCAAGGAACCGGGTTTTGTGTATTTTTTTTTAGACACTGGGAACTTGTTAAAAGGAAAAGCAGCAGCAGCAGCAGCACCGGGAGGCTCGAGGTGTGGCTGGAGCGGAGGGGGGTCCCCAGCCGATGCGGGCGGGAGGTGGGATGTGAGGAGGGGGCAGGCAGGGAGCACAGCTCTCGCTGCCACGGGGCAGGAGAAGCCTTTCAGCAGTGGTGTTCCTGGCTCTGCATAACCGCGGTGCCGTTCACCGCCCCGCCAGCCTGCTCACCTCCCACACCAAACAGGTCGGGTACCGTGCCTGGCTTTGAACGTCCCCTGTCACCCCACAGTGCCCTGTGCTCTCAGCTGGGGTCCTGGATGCCGGGTGAGGCTGGGGGTCCCAGGGAGGGTGGCCCTGGCTGCCCAGGGATGGGGGGGGACAACCCATGCTCAAGAGGAGGTTTAAGTTGTGCTGAAGCCGTGAGCGGGAGGTTTGCTCAGAGTCGGGGGGGAAAACCTTGGGGTGAGCAGCCCCATGCTGTGTTCTGCCTCCCTCCCCCCCCACCTCAAGGTGTGCTGCCCATGGGGTGGCAGTGGAGAGGTGTCCCCACAGGGTCCTGTCCCACAGGCCTGGCAGGAGTCGGGGTGCCTGGCTGAGGTGGGGGCTGGGGTGAGAGCTGGGTGGGGGACGCGTGGGTGCTCAGCCCTGGCTGGGACTCATCTGTTGGTTCTAAGCAGGGGATGCCAGAGCGGGTGAGAGAAACCTACATATTTCCAGCATGTATATTATTTTTAGAAGAGAGAGAGGGGAGAGTCTTGGACCATTGATTACTTTCATTTTGCTCCCCTTAGACTGTCAGCTGTGTATGTGAAACTTATAAAGAAAAGAGGGTTGCCCTGCCCAGGTGCTCCCAGAACATGTACTGTAATTCTTTGTATATAGAAGAAAAATTACTGTAAAGTAAAGTTTAACTTTACTCTCGATGTCCTCTTGTGGTTTGTCTTGCCAACTGGGGGTGGGGGGAGCGAGGAAGGGTTGGGAGACCCCTGACAGCGGCGCAGACGGGGAGGGGGGACGGCTCAGACCACAATGCATTTTTATTTACATTGTACACCTCGAGAGAAGACGCTTAAATAAATCTGCGAAGAATCGGGCAGCATCTCCGCGAGAGAATAAGTTAACGGGCCACGGCGGCGACTCGGGGAAGCAGCTCCCGCCAAACGCCGGCTGGCAGGGAGAGAGGGTCCCCAGGGGTGACAGCCCGTGGCTCCCGGCACCGCACGGCAGCCTCTGCCGCTCCGCACGCCGGAGCACAGCAGTCCGCAGGGCCCCTTGCCGAAGGGCCCGTACAGCTAAAACACAGCAGGTAAAAAAAGCCCGGGAGGAGCCCGGTGGGTGCCGGCTGCGCCGTCGGCAGCCGCGGTTCCCTTTTGGCAGGAGGTCTCAGTGGTGGCAGCAGCTGTAGAAGTAGGTACCGCTCCTCTGGCCCAGGTCGACACCCTTCTCCTCTGGAAGAGAGCAGGGATGGCAGGCTGCCAGCACGGCCACGCCGCGATGCCGTGTGGGAGACCAGAAGCCGCCGGGCCCTGGCGTGTCCCCTTGGGGAGAGGGGGCTGGTGTCCCCGCGGAGAAGCAGCCGGGGCTCATGGCCATGGCTAGAGCCGCAGACGGGCTGAGCACGCCTGGACAGGCCGGGTGCAGAGCAAGGCTGCCCAGTTGCCAAAGGCCACTCACTGGTGGCCCACTTGGGCCGATGCCGTGATGGGACCCAAGCTCTGCAGGACAACCCCTGGCACAGAGCTCCGTCAACACCCCCCCAGCACTCATCCTCCGCGCCCTCCCTGGGGGCTCGTATGCCCCCCGGCTGGGCAGAGGGTGCTGGGGGAGGGAGGGGACTTGCCCACTCACCTGTCATCACCTGGAAGGCGCTGAACTGGACGTAGTCCTCGGCCACCTTCTGGAACAGTTCATCTGGGGACGTGAGAGCGGGCAGGGTGGGTGCGTGCCCCCCCGGCAGCAGGGGCACGGCCGGTGGCAATGGGGGGGCTATTACTACTCACCCACGCTCTGGCCCGTCTTACTGGAGGTCTCGAAGAGGTCAGCCTTGATCTCTGGAACGACAGCCCCCGGTTGGCAACGGCGGGACTCCGCTCCCCTGGGAGTCACCCCTCGGGACGGCAGGTGACAGCGGGGCTGGCGGGGCTCCCGTCCCCGCTGGCCCCGAGTCAGGACATGCCGTGCCCGGGGGGAGGGCCCTGGCAGAGCTCCGTGCCTCACCGGGCGGGGAGCGCCCCCCCCCGCCCCCATCCTCCGCCTTCCCCGGAGCTGCCCGGCCGTACCCTCGGCGTAGTCCTGCACGTCGTGGAAGTCCACCCCCCGCTTCCTCCGGTCCTCCTCCAGCAGGTCGCTCTTGGTGCCACACAGGTAGATCCGGCAGCCCTGCGGCGGGCAGAGCGGCGGGAGGAGAAAGGCTCCCGGCTCCCGGTCCCCTCCGGTAAGGCTCCGCACCCCCCCACCCCCCGTCCCGTCCCATCCCCGTCCCCGTACCTCCTCGCAATTCTGCAGCTCGTTCACCCAGAACTTGGCTCGCTGGAAACTGCTGCTGTCGGTGAGATCTGGGGGACAACGATCAGGGCCTGACACCCCCCTTCCCGCCGGTACCGGCACCGGCGGCTCCTTCCCCTTCCCGCCCTTACCGTAGCAGACGATGGCGGCCCGTGCCCCCCGGTAATAGATGCGGCTCATGGCTTCGTAGCGCTCCGAGCCGGCCGTGTCCTGCGGGCGGCAACGAAGCGCTCAGCCGGTGCGGGGGGGATCCGTCCCGGGGATCCCCGTCCCGGGAGGTGACACCGGGAGAGGGGGTGGGGGGGCAATATCCCACCCCCCCGCGCTTACCCATATCCCCAGCGTCACCGTCTGCTCCCCCACGGACATCACCTTAGCCACGAAGGCGGCGCCGATCGTCTGGAAGAGAAGCGGGAGGAGCGGTGGGGACCGGCCCGGGGCTGAGGGGGAGGCGGCGAGAGGAGGCCCCCCCCGGTTCACCCGGTGACTCACGTTCTGGTAGGGCCCGGGCCGGAACCGGCGGTGGGCGCAGCGCTCCACCAGGCTGCTCTTGCCCACCCCCTCCTGCCCCAGCAGCACCACCTTGGCGTCCACCC